TACAGAAAAGGCTTTCCTACAAATTGTAACTGATCCTGCAGATGGAGATTTTCTATGCTTCTTGTAGTGGGAAAAGAGAAATATTGTTGAATTTAGACATTGGAGAGTAGTTAAACATTTTGAATGTATGAGATGAAAGGAAAGACTGGTTTCATTAAGAGGTTTTGGTTTATTTAATTATGACAAAGCACTAGGCTATCCCTAAGGGGGGAGGATGCCTTCGGGAGGACTTTGTAGGGAACTGGCTCGCATAACGTTACCCAGGAAAACCACAAAAACGCCCATGCAGCCAGCCTTTCGCGGATTCGAACCTCGGACCGAACTACCAGTGTTCAGCTTTACCACTCGGCCGCGTTTTCATCAGGAGGAAAAAACATCTTTAGGTGACATACACATACATCACTGGATAAACTTCTGAATTCAAATATTCGACTGAGAAATTAGGGATTCCATTTATGATACGATATGATGTTCTTAACGTAATTTAAATTTATACAACCATATAGTCTAAAACCTCGCTCTTTCACTTTAATCTGCATGATATCGTTTTTGTCTTTCTGTTAACACAAGCTCAATTGATGGTATTTGCTGGTGTACACTCCAAGTGTTTTCTCTTTGAACACCTAATTTTTGAAGTATCCGGAAAGTATCTTCAAAAGCAACCAACTTTTTGAACATCTTGGTAGCCTGACAACCAAATTCCTTGCAATTTTTTGCTTACTTTTCTCCCTAATTTTCTTCTTTCCTTCTACAGTTATTTTCGTGCTCACACAGAAAATTAAGACTTTTTTATTGCTAGACTTCGATAAATTTTGCATCTTGTCAATTTTTAAAACATCATCATGAATTGTGTTCAGCTGAAGACGCTTCATTTTCTAGTCATTTTACTATAAATAAGTTTAAGTGAAAGTCCAAAGGATAATTTTAAATAAAAGTTTTTGCTAAATGACAAAAAAATAAAACAGCCAGCAGGGTTTTATTCTGACCACCGGTGACCCAATTTTATCGGCTGAAACAATCTAAATCATATTAGATCATTTTTTTTATTACAACTATAACGCGAGAGAAAAGTTAGCTCTTAAAACATTTTCTACGAGGATTATATAAAAGATTATATTTATATATATATTTTTAAGCTGGGACTTGAACCAAACTGTCAAACTTTAAAGTTAATTTACTGGTGGTTATAATTAAAGTTCCAATTGAAATGGTATAAAAGGAAAACTACCGGACCGAATGTTATCAATTGAATCATGTAAAGGAGGTTATGGAATTTATTTTCCGCGTGAAAAAAAAAAAAAAAGTCAAAACTCACTACCAGGGGGAAAATGGCGCTGTATACATATTGTTAAATAAAATAAGAATGGAAAACATCTGTTTAAAATGTGTTTAATAGTTCCGAAAGTGTTACAAAGCTTGATCAATGTAGCTCCAGCATTTCCAAAAGCAGTTAAATCCGTTACTGCATTCTTAACAGCACTTCTTCGCATCGAGGAATGTTACAGACATGTCAGTGTACAGTTTTTATTTCAGCCAAATGTTTAGATATCACCTAAACACTTTTGAGATAACCCACGGCTAAAAGTCACAGAAATTGAGGCCGGTGGGAAAGGGAAGCGTCGGCCTATAAATGTTCATCGTGAAATGTTGCTAATAATGGCGAACATGTGAGGTGGGCCCATCCCTACATAAAACCATAGTACTAAAATGCCACGTTACTGCTTCATATATCACAAACATTTTAACATTGATTCTAAGTGAGCTGCAATCCGTGCTCCAGCTGCGACTGCTTTTCAGAGAAAAATGGTTCAGTTATAACTAGCTGTCATTAAACTCTAAACGGTGTGGAATACTGCTAGCAATCGAATGCGGTAGGAAATGCAATGGAACTAGATAGATAACTGAGGGATTTCTTTGGCCCAAATCGATTAAAGCTTTTGAATTTATCTTCGTTCAGGGCTGAATTCAGGCTTAAAAAATTACAAATTGGCGATCTGTAAGAAACATTCCAGATTGTACGACTTGTGCGATGATTTGCGATCTCACGTTTTCTAATCACTAATTGGTTTTCACGGACAAATTTTATCCCTTATACGGATGGGCGCACTCGATTGTTATCAATTTAATGCCTTAAATGTAATTTGCTTACTTCAAAGTTTCTTAAGGGTATACAACATATTAAAACCATGTACAAAGGTTAAGCTAGGTTAAGTACACATACTTATTTTCGGAACACAAGCGTTCTCCAATTGGTTATTGAATAATAAAAATGCCATTGTCATGCAATAAAAATTGGAATACGTTTTCTTACTGAAAACGTAAGATTAAAGTCATCTGCTTAATTCACCCATTTACAAGTCAACTACTTGGGCAATTGCAGAATCGTTTGATCTGAGCTTGTAAGACAAACCTAATATCACTGGATTTAAACACTTCTTTAATCTCCGAGAACTTCCTTTTAGCTCATATTCCAGAATATTAAGTGAATACAATTATTGCAAAAGAAATGAATATTCATTTGTTTCGGCTTGGCAGTTACTAACGAGTTAACAAAACTTAATTTGCTTTTTGCTTCTAAGAATAAACATATTTTAATATTTACAAATAAAATATTAAATTGGAGATTAATGGACCTCACCGTTCTTAGCATTTGAAGATTGTTAAATACTAATTGTTTGTTGCGAAGTCTAACCCAGGCTGCATGGTTGGTTTTTGTAGTTTTCTAGGTTCTCTTTACAAAGGTTCTCTATGAAAGCATCTTAATCAAAAAGCTCCCATGTTCTTTCTATGTTCAAATAACTAATTAGCCTAGTTTAAGCATGATTTCAAACTGAAGTTACCAACAAAATCCGAATACTTTTTAAAAATCATGTAGCTTGCCAATCGGGAGTAACATGAAAGATATGGCGCCAATAATTGAATCGCTGTTACGGTACGCTGTTTCTAAACTTAGATGGTCATTCTTAATTAATAGCCAAACAGCGACCGAGCGGTACAACGCTGAACGGTAGTTCGGTCTGAGGTTCGAATTCGCGAATGGGCTGGCTGCATGGGGTTTTCATGGTTTTTCCCCATGGTAACGTGTTATACGAGCCAGTTTTCCTTAGAAAGGTCCTCCACGAAGGCTCCCTCCCCTTTAGCCCTCAGTTGATTGCCATAATTAAATAATCCAATCCAATCCTTATTAAATATAATTGATTTGTAACTTCCTACTAGAGCTGACGGTAAGAAGTAAAGTGTAATAAATAATATCGTGTGCAATCTGATTAATAAAATTTAAAATATTTGCATTCAGACAGAACGTTTTTTGAAATATTGCAATTACTTTATAAGAAGGATTTATTAATAACGTATAATTACTTATTATATTACTGATGATTAGGATTCATTCTTGACAATTAATTCTAAATTAGAATTTAAGGATATAATAAAAATACGATCTACACAAAAAATACTTTTAGGATAAAAAATGAGTTGATTTTTTTATGTTTAAAAACTTAAACATAAAAAATTATTATAATTAAATCATTTAATAAAACATCGTATCATCGTTGTTAATTGAATTCAGAATTTGGGGTGTCGTTTATATAATTATTCTTACTTGTCCACAGAATCTGCTGACTTAGCCAGTCATTAAGCAGCTGCAGATCATTTCTACATAACCATTGAACTTCCATTAATTCAGTCTCGAGGGTTGTATGTTATATCATAATTGACTTTATAAAAATGATTATTCTAAATCTTATGTTTCTATAAAAATATACTGTGCTTTAAAAAAGGGACGTATCAGCCGCTTCATAAGCATATTTGTTTAAGAAATAAATTATGCAGTTAATGTATAAATATTTTCATAAAATTCAAAGAAACATCAAAAAAATTCAGAGTTTTAGACAATTGATTTAACGAGTTAAGTAAAGTAGCAGACGATAAAACGCCAAAGGTAAAAATTTATTATTTTTTTTTAAAAAGAAGAAAGAGAGAAATCTAAAAAAAAATAGTTAAAAATGTGGAATAATCATCTATAATTTAAAAAAAAAGCTTTTCATTTAGTATTAATAAATATTTATTACGGATCATTGAGGGAAAAAATTTCATATAATTAATTCTCCCTACAATTTTACTTGAAATTTAAGGTTAAAAATAGCTGTGCTATTCACTGTAACAAAAATCCATAAACCACATTTGGCATTATTACCGATCAAAAAAAAGGTGCCAAATTTCAAAATGCGAAAATATGTAAATTTGTGTATATCTTAGAAAATTTTGAATAAAAAAGTCTAATTTTTTGCAGGTATGCTTAGAAATACACCTACTTTAAGATGATGGTATAAATTTTATAGGTTATAATTTGAAATTTTTTTTGAAAATTATAAAAATTATTTAAAATAGAACACAAAAATAGGTAAATTTTATTTGGAATGAACATAATTTCGAAATGTGAAAGGAAAAATCAAAAAGTTTAATAAAAAAAGAGATATAATAATATTTACCAAATCAAAACATGAGGAGCTAAAATGCGAGAGCTAATATTTTAAAAACTACTCATACGATTTTTACAAAACTTGGTATTCTGCCATAATTTGAGTCGTAGAATCGAAATATGGAAAAATGGTATTCTGGCATAATTTGAGTCGTAGAATCGAAATATGGAAAAATATTGAAATATTATTTCAGAAAAAGTCCGATTTTGTGTTAAAATACCTATGTTACAATAGTGCTATACATAAATCTAATATATATCCTAAGTCATGCTTTCGAGACATGGAAAACGCAGTTTGAATTTTGTCAAGCGGCCCAGTAAAACAAGAGATATGGCACTGTCCCCCCCCTTTTTTTTTTTTTTTTTTTTTAAAGCAGTGTACATTTTTCAGAAAAGAATTTAAAAAAAAAATATTTTACCTTATTTACATAGACATAGCATGATTTTAGTTTCAGCGTAATTCGTTCCAAAAACTTTAAGAATATTCAATAGCAAATATTTGCCTTCAAGCATGATACTGATAAAACTGTATACACTCACCTCATGCAGTAAAGTTCCATAGCTGAAGCATTTTCATATGTCATAGGATCATTATCAAGAAAAGCAGTCAGCCAGTCTGGCAAGGAAGTACCACATGCCAGGCTGATTCGAACACATTCAAAAAAGTCTGTATGTTTGCTTACACTTCCACTGGTAATTGGTGAGAAAGAAAACTGTGGTTTCAGAACACTTTTCAGTTTTGTATAAATTACCTCAAATGGCCTGGTAATGAACATTACAAACTGAAAAAAGATATTATGATTTACTTAGGCATAAAGATGGCATTATTATAATTAATGATTTAATAATAATGAGAAAAGATAGAGCAATTATAAATAGAAGATTATTTTACGCTAAATGCATCACAAATCATGTTTATTCTTTTATATCCATTTATTTAACTGAAACATAAAATTGAAAGATTTCAAGTATATACAGTTTCATTTAAATATTTACAGAGGTATATTGATTTAGGAATGCAAAATTAAACGGCTACAAGAGTATATGCAGAATGAAGAAAATGGTACATGTAATGTTTTGTTTCCTTAAGAAAAATTCATCCCAGATAAAGTACGTCCAAAGTATCACAAAATGATGTAGAAAATCTGATTTTTATATATTAAGTAACACTGAGAACAAAACTAACTTTGAACACTAAGAATTTTGATCAGCACTGGTGCCAACACAACTTCTGATGTCCATCTTGATACCAGACTTCTATTATCACTCTGAATACCTTTGGTAATCTACATTTCTCAAAGATAATTATTCTATTCCATGAAAGCTTTAACTGCCATTAATTTTTGGCAAAATGAGTAATGCTAATTCCTTGCAGCCACATAGTAAATAGAAGTATTGCTGTTATAAGTGGGATCAAGCTTACTTCAAATAAGTATTCATATCTGTACTTTGTGCCTTCACCTTTAACCCTTAGCCTGTCGACTGATTTTCTGCAAATCCCTTTAAAACTGTTGCTAGTTTTGGACCGAACTTCCCGTAAAAATGTCGCGAAAATAACCCTAAACCTCTGCAATTCGGAATTCTTTAGTTATTTCCCATCCCTCCCAGAATTTTACTTCAATGATTCTGCTAAGTGAGATTGATTACTAGATATTGTTCCATACATGTGAGCTGTCAAGACTAGAAGCTCTGTGACGACCGTCTCAATGCCGCAGGTACAGCTCTTAAAAGTTTACTTCCCTAAACAATCTCATTTTCAAATAAATTGGTTTTAAAATTTACCCGGTTAAATTTTTAAATTATTACGCATTTTTAACCTAAGTAACCTAAATCTGTATGTCACTGATTATCACCGGAATTTCAATGCAGACTGATTAAACTGCTATCACTAAAATTATATTCTGACAAATATCTGGTGCAACTTTCATTCCTTCTGAGATATTGCTGAAACATTTCGTATTATTTCCGATTTTCTGTATTTTTGTCATTAATTAAAAATCTTTAAAACCTTCAGCATTTTCCTATATTCTTCAACTGCATGCAACTAATAATTATTTTAAATAATTTCTTTTTCCTTAATTATTACGTAGTTTTAGAGAGTAATAAACGAAACATTTGGGTGTTTTTAAGGGGGATGATAATATTAATATTAAATTTGCATTTTACTTTTTCATATACATTCAAGATATTCAGAAAGGGAATTATAACTTGAAACCGTTTTCAGTGTATCATAAATTTATTGATTGAATTCAAATTAAAATTCTTGCTTTCCTGTCCAAGAAAACTAGTAAATTTTAATCTGAAATAGGAAAGATGAGACATTTAATAACAAACAAAGCAATTATTGTTACTAGATTACAATATAATTTGTTCATTATATTATTTGTAAAGAAAGAGTGTTGCTGTACATTTTGTAAAGTATAAATAAGCATTGGATTTACGAATTATAACAGTTATTAATTATTTAATAATTAATCATAAGAATATGAATAATTAAATATTTTTTCGGAGATATATTTTCCGGCGATATTTTTTTTCTAGGGATCCCAGCATACATTTTTGAAGCATTATGCTCTAAATAAATGTCTTGTTTGAACATAGCATTTATTGTTGACAAATCTCCAACCAAAGGAAATACCTTACTAGGGAGGATATTCAAACAAAAATTTTTATTAGAATAAATATTTTCGTTATTTTAATACTACTAATAATATACAAACATTAGTTTAAGTTCACTATAGTTGAGTGAATAAGATTGCTGGATGTTGGTAGTTTGTTGTTGGCAACCGAACAGTTTAGCTGCTTGTGGTCTTTATGATTTTCCCGATGCGTAACGTGAATTCAAGCCAATTTTATTTAGAAAATTGCCCACGAAGGTGTTCTCTTAAAGCAGATAACCCATGACTTCTTAAAAACTGTAAAATATAATCTGTGGATATTTTCCGTTATACGATAACACGAAGAAAATGATTTCCTATACGAAACATATGATCAGCGCTGTTATTGGCCGCCGTTTAATTAAATGCATCCATCTTATTCCTTACAATTAATTTTCCTTTTTCAAAGAAAGTTTGATTTCAGTAAAATGTACTATTTACAATGTGTCATTTTATTTTGCTCGTTTTTTATGCAAATATTCAAATTCAGATAGATATTGCGTTAAGTTCAGAAAGCCAACTAGTCTAGTCTCCAAGCGGTAAGATAGCTGAGCACCGGTAAATTCCAGCGGCTGCATGGGAGGTTTAGGGGTTTTTCATAAGTACAATTGATTGTGAATTAACAGTTTGTTTCCCACAAAAAAAAAATCTACCCTGAAGACTTCCTTTCCCTTAGACAAATAGGTCCTGTGTGCTTTATCATAATCCAAAATCTTAAGCGTAAAAATCTTTTATCATAGCCGATGATGACGATAAAATATTTTCTATCTGATGTGTCAAGTTAGCATAATTGTATATTTCTAACGAAAATTGTTTGGCTCATGTTACCCTATAATGAAAAAAAGATTCAAATCGGTTTTTAGCTTAAACAGTATTTTCATTATTAATTATATCACGAATTTTATCAAATAGTATTCTTAGTATTAATTTGCAGGGCATGTATTCAAGAATATAATATACACAAAGCTGTGTCTAATGATTACGGCTAATTTTTATATAAAATTTTATAGTATAAAAATTTAGGTTCATAGGTCAGCCATATTTGAAAGAGTACTTGTGTATTATGAAAAGAGAGAGAAATTTAAGAATCAAAAAATTTACCACGAAAAGTAATATAAAAATGCAATACAATACAAAAGAGTACAATACTATTCATCATGTTTTGTGGATATACTTGAAGACAGAAACATGTTTTCAGCTGTATTCGTTCATCGGAGAAAACTTTTCATATGAAGCTATTTTTTTTCAAATCTTTCACTATACAAGTAATACAAAAGCAGTATAGGAATTTCTTTTCTTAATATCCAACCGAAGAGCTGAAGGGACGTACAATGATTAACATACAATGGGTGCCTTGAATTATTTTGCTTTACATGCAGTTTCCTTATATATGTAAAACAAAATAAACTTTCACCCATTCCAAGATTTCAAGAACTCACAGAGAGAGAGAAATATCTATAACAAATTTTATTGCTGTCTGACTGATTGCTTCGGGAACAATAAGTCTTCCAACTTAATCTTCAAGCTATTCAAATACGAACGCTTCTCAGCAAAGCCATTTGGACCGCATCTGCTTTGTTAAATAAAGAAACTTTTGGGGGGGTGAAATCATCCACTTCATCGGGTTTTTCAAACAAAGCAGTCAGTGGTCCTGTTACTACCTGCTGACCTAGAGAAATTTCTCAGAAACTTTTGTTCGAAAAAAAAAAAAAAAAAAAAAAAAACGAGTTTTATATTTTTAAGAATTTCCATTCTGACAGCAAGATTTTGTTATTTTTCATATATAGATGAAAAAGAAACTAATTTGTTTTTAATAAAGAAGAAAAAAAATTAATAAGCTTATTTAAATTTTTTACACAGCACCGAGTAAGGAGACGAAATTTAATTTTCTTTATAAATATTTTTCTCAGACAATACTTTACGTGTAGTGTTTTTCAAATTACGAGAATAGCGCGTTAGTGCATGCATTTTCAAATCAGATTTATTTAATTAATATATGGATATGCCGAACAAGCACACTTTCGCACACATACACTGTATATTAGTACATACATAAAAATGAAATAAAATTTGAAAACAAGCAATTTAAAAACTACTGTATTGAAAAATTATTGAAAATCTGCTTTTACTTCATTTTTTTTTCGTTATATACATTTACTTCAGTTTTGCTATGTGCATTTACTTAATTTTATTTTGTTATATGCATCTTTTTACAGTTAGTCTTTTTGACACATGTTTAGATTATTTGAGTATGACAAAGGAAACGAGATCTATCAGCCGAAGGAATTGGATGTCTCTGTGGATGACTTTCTAAGTAAAACATACTCATGTTCTTTTTACACATAGGGGAAATCACAAAACCCAACAATGGGTATATGAATTGAAGAATAACTTTCACTCATGCTATTGCTCTTAGCATTGACATTTGGAGAGATGCTAATTAATTTTCTCATTTATTTGAAATTCTTTTAATGTAATTAATTTAATTTAGGTAATTGTTCTTCTGACTGCAATTTTTGTGCGTATTATATCTAACCCTTCCATACACTGTTTACCGATAGGTTTCTTTCCAGAAAAGTTTCAAGGAATACGTATTTTTTTCTTAAATTTTAAAACATTTTTATTTAAAATCTTAATAATAAAATTTTTAAAACAAAATATTCTAGAAATTCCTTCAGCATATTGATTTATTCCATTTAATTGAAGTTTTCGAGTAGAATATCTTCCTTTCAACATTCATAAAATTTTTATATGTCAGTTCACCATTTCTAGGGTACACAGAGCCACACATAAGAGTACAAAACTCAGGCATGCTGAGAGCACAGTTTTAATATTTCAGAATGTAAAAAGAAGAATATGCCATTATAATAACGTGCATTTGAATTATGAGGTCAAGCAAGAAAGCTGGTTGCTACATTTTATATTTTTTTCTGACGAATCAGAAATTGTAATCAACTTTTAATACAAAAATAAAATATTTTATTGTATAACATATGTACTAATCGAAAGGGCGTTTGCTGTTACAATTTTTATTTTTTCCTGTTTCTACTAAAATTTCGCAATACTATAACAACATGTGATACTGTTTGACTTTCATTTGTATAAAGTACAACAAGGCAAATAGTTGTAAAACGATTTATCTTCATTCGCAAACTTTTAGTCGGCACACAGATAATACATACCTGCTGTCTGACAATGATACTTCACTCTCAGGACTCTTTCGTACTCTTTTCAAAGAGACTTCACACCCCATTAAGCGCTTTGTGTCAACTGACAACCACCTGCAGAAAGGTAGGGAAAAGAACACCAGAGCGCATCGTCTAAACACGTCTTAAGCATTTTTGGCAAAATTTCGGCTTTAAAAATTTTTCGAGTGATTTTAAGTTCGTGAAAAGACGTCTAAAGGATTTTTAAAGGAAACCCTGAAAATGTTTAAACACGTCTTAAGCAGTTAAAGGGTTAATATAGCACTTTCATAATTTTCCCCCTAAGTGCTCTAAAATTTGCATAGGAATTAAAATGCTCTCAACATTTTGGCGACATTCTACATTCCTGAAAAAAATGGAGGGGGGAGGAAACACAGAAAGCTGATAATTTCCTTTAAATAAATAAATTCCCAAAAATATTCAACAAATACTACAGATCTGAGCAGAAAATAACAAATCCAGAATATGTCGAAATTAACAGAACAGTATTAACCCTTTGTAGCTGTATGTATACTCCCAGCCAAGAAAGCTTTTTTACCGCTCCAGACGTATATCTGCTCTCAGGTACCATAGCAAAAAACCATATTAATCTTACATTATATTAAGTCGACAAACTACATAATCTTGCATATTATGTATTACTGTTCATTCAACAAAAATTAATTCTCATCAGCATGATAAATAGTTATGTATTAGATACTTACATATAAACTTAATGCAAAGTTAGATACTTATGTATAAACTTAATGCAACAGCAAAGGGTTAGGCATGTGCTCCGCACTGTTTAAAAAAATGTAGTGAAAATTAAGGTTTAGACATGGAAGCAAATATTTATTAATAAGTTATCACAATCTGGTGCAAAAGAATTAAACACTGAAAATTTTATAAAAACAGCTTCAGAACTACAGGGATCAGAAGTCAAACAACAAAAATCAGAGTTATATTTTCAAACTTCCCCAGAACTAGTTTCGATGGTTTTACCGAACCACCATTGTCAGCTGCAAAAGCGCAAATGAACAAGATAGGATATAATGATCAGATAAGATAAGAAAGCCTAGACAAAAAATAAGCTAGTGGCACCATCTGTTGATGAAACCAGAACTAAAACATAATTTCTTTAAAGGACGAAGGCAAAGATGAATTGGAATTAGGATCATTAACTAGAACAGAAAGATTTTTTTGAATGTGAAACACCTCTAGAAAATCCAGTTCTCCAGCTGATCTGTATAATAGAGTTGAAAATCTAGAAATTAAATATTTAGCTAATGGATACGAAGCAGTACCTAAATTTGATACAATAGGGCAGAAAGGAATACCACTTTTATGAATTAAATTCATACTATTATGTCTCTATTAGACAATAACATTTACACCATTAAAGATTAAATAGAGTTTGTAAAAAAAGGTTAAAAACATTTCTCCTAGAAATTTACTCATGGTTTCTTTGATGTAAAATCATTATTCACCAATGTTCCAGTGGAGGGTGCATTAAGATGCCTAGAAACCAGACTTCGCGAATTTCATTTCTCTTGCATCGAAATTGATGAGCTAATTTCTCTTACTGAACTCTGTTGATGAACAAACACATTTGTTTTCCAAAATAAATATTACAAGCAAACTGAGGGATTAGCCATGGGAAGCCCCTTCAGTCAAACCCTGCTGATATCTACATGCATTATTATGAATCAAAATTGTTTGAAACTTCCAGGTATAGTTTCCGCTACGTAGATGACACTTTTACTCTGTTTAAAGGTAATAAAGATGATTTAAATAAAGTTCTTTCAATAATAAATTCTATTGATCCTGCTATTCAGTTCACTTTTGAACTTGAGACTTGCAATTCTCTTCTGTTTCTCGACATTCTGGTCACACGTAACACATCCAACTTCAGTACTATGGTTTATCATAAACCTTCATCGGTTTGCCTTCCACCACACTTTAAATCATGTAATCCGACTACACAAAAGTTAGCTTCATTTTATTCCTATGTTTTCCGTTCTCTTCAAGTTTGCTTCTCCAAAGTATCCCTTGATGAAGAACTAAATTATTTAAAAGCAGTAGCTCTTGACAGGGGCTTTTCACCCACCATTATTAGTCAAGCAGTTAAAAAATTCTCATCTCAACACATCAAAAGGCACACTTTTGTTTTAGGAGATTATAAAAATTCTGTTGTCATTTCCTTCTTTCCATCAATTAGCGATAAAGTTGCACTTATTTTACAGAAATTTAACTTTCGGGTTGTTTATTCTCCCATCAATCAAATTCCGAGTTCCATACTCAAGGACCCCATTCCGGATATGAATTCCTGGGGTATTTATAGGATTCCTTGCCAGTGTGGTTTAATTTACATTGGCCAAACTAAGAGAGCCTTAAAATTTTGCATCACGGAACATGAGGCATATGTTAGAAAAAAGGAAACACAGAAGTCTTCTGTTGCTCAACATTGTTGGTCCGAAAATCACACTTTCAATTTTTCTGCTGCTAAAATTATTCAAAAAACATCTTCCATTGGAGAACTGGATTTTCTAGAGGCATTTCACATTCAAAAAAATCTTTCTGTTCTAGTTAACGATCCTAATTCCAATCCATCTTTGCCTTCGCCCTTTAAAGAAATTATGTTTTAGTTCCGGTTTCATCAACAGATGTTGCCACTATCTTATTTTCTGTCCAGGCTTTCTTATCTTATCTGATCATTATAGCCTATCTCATTTATTTGCACTTTTGCAGCTGACGATGGTGGTTCTGAAACTAGTCCTGTGAAAATTTGAGAATATAACGCTGATTTTTGTTGTTTGACTTCTGACTTAGTATTTGTTCAGCATGTTATTGTGTCTTAACTACAAGGATATTATAAATAAAATGTTTAATTTTTATGTAGCCTCCAAACAGCAAAATGTAGTTAATAACATGTTGGTACTTTTAAACATGAGAAATTTCATACATTTATATGCAAAATTTATTGAAAGACTAGCAAATAAAAGTTTAGTTACAAAGCAAATAATAGCACTGTTGTTTTACCTAATTTGAATGCATTAACTGTGAAGCAAACAACTTTTATTTTGTAGTTTCTTATTAATTTATATAAAATCAATGATAATCACTGAAAGTGACCTAAATCTTTACACAAATTCCCTGAAATATAGACAAATTTTTCATGTAAAAGTACTGATATGTTCTGTATCTTAAAGCATAGCAAACATTTTACAATTTGAGTTTTTTATCAGGGACCATATAAAACTTAGATTTTATATTTAAAAACCTCTGAAACCTCCAATTCTGACACGATTTTCAGAAAACTCTTCATCATATTTTAAGAAATTTTATTGTTGAAAAGTACATATCTGGGATTAAAGTTCAGGAAATAATGTCTGAAGTCATGTTTTTTTACACTCCATATAAACATGAACATATTATACTAGATTACTAAGCAATCAAAAAAGAATGTGTAACAGAATTTTAAGAAGTAAAAAAATTTTACTTTTTCACTAAGTTGGTTTTATTTCCTTTTCTACCCCCTCATTTTTTTTTTTAGCAACTTGACTTTTGAGAACTGAGATGGGAAAATTTTGTGGTCTAGACCATTTCAGAGTAAAAAGCTTAGCAGAAAAACATAGCACACTGAAAAGTATACATGAATATTTGTACTACTATTACTGTATTTCAAAGCAGTTATCATTAATCTAACTAATATTATTTTTACTTACACAATGCACTTCCCTATCTATGTACATATTTTATCATAAGTTTCTAAATCATATATGTTAAAAATGCTAAGAGAAGTTATGTGTGAGAGAGAAATTTCTGAGTAAATATGAGTAAAATCTGTCCTAGTTAAAGACTGAAAACAAATTTTATTACAGCGTCAGGAAAAATTATGAATTTCAAATGCTTTTAAAATTATTTAGCCCAATATATTTTGTAGCTAGATTTCCCCATTTACTCAAAAATTAAAAAGAACAGTTATGAAAAATTTCTTAGTTTCCACTGTAAATTTTATTATTAGTTAGTTGAAAATACTGTTTAATCAGCCTTACCTGTAGTCCTTCTTTCTTTGCTAAATGGTCAAAATAAGATGCTGTACTGAAATAAAAACATAAATTTAAAAATGTAATATTTTCTAATAATCATTTACACACACATTTGACCAAACTAATTTCTCTGTCAAAAATTTTTACTAACCAAAGGAAACGTAGATCTGTATATAAAGACTCTTGTTATTCCAAACTATTTGTATTGCACACGATTTATAAAAATGATTCATTGCATTTTAAAGTTTTATAATTTCCAAGTTATCACACATAATAATCCTGTTATGAAAGAAGATATCTTAATTTTTTAAATTCACTTAACTTTTTTATGAAACATTGTATAACAGATATGAATTCTGTGGTGAGTTTACAGCAGAAAGAGTTTAGTGTTTTAGAATATGCGAAGTTTTTATTCATTATTATTATACAATGAGTACTTCAAAGGCAGTGCAATATAAATCCACATATTCATAGAGATTCTACAGCAATATTAACAGTTCAAGAATCTGGTTGCCTGTACGAAGGCAAGAGCACAAAACAGTAAAGCATTTCTAACAAAGCAGTGGAGAAAGTTAGAGAAAATTCCACAAACAGCCCATAAAAAAAATCAATAAACTGAAGCAGTACCAATGGGAACATTCTGTAAAGAAGATTATAACTGAAAAGATATATTGACAAATATTGTAATATTTGGAGCAAAAGTATTCAGATTACATAAAGTAATATGAATTTTCCAAGCTGATAAATACATAAGATATAGTTGACACATAAGCTGATAGATACATTATATGTACTATGCTGATAGATTTCCAAGCTGATAAATACATAATATAAGCAAGACCATTTTTCTGATTAGTGTTTGTTTTTGCATTGAGTACTGCAAGCAAGATAATAATTTTGCCTCCTGCTTAATCAAAGTGACGAAGCAATGTTTCACTCGCTGTCACAATGTCTAGTTATGGAGCATGGAAAATGTCCTACTTTCATTGAAGAGGAATGGATTTACCCAAACTAAATGTCATCCCACCATTTCACAGTTTCACATACAGTGTCTTTTTTTAACCCCCCTTAAAGAATACTCAGAAAGCCATATCATATCTTAATGTGCTGCGGTTGTGGTTATTTCTTCGCATAAAGATTATTTGGAGAATTTTGCAGTCCAGTAAGATAAGGCTTCACATTATTGATAGCACTCATGCTATCAGATCGATCAATATAGGAAAGATGCTTATTGTTAAATGGCCATCGAGATCTTTGACTTTGGGCCTAATGAATTTTTCTTTTGGGGATACGTTAAACATAATGTTTATATGATCTCACTGTCAGCAATAACAGAAGAGCTTTAGGATCGCATTACAGCTGGTTTGGTGATAATCAGCAGGAAAATGCTATAATACATCCAAGAAAAATTGAAGTATAGCTTAGACACGTGTCTTGTAACAAGAGGAGCACACACAGAACATTTATAGAGTTATTAATAAAATAGGAAAGAATTTTAGGTTTTTTTTCTGATTATCTGTACCCATCTGAAAAGTATTTAAGAGACAATTACACTATGCCATCAAAATACACAACCCAAGTAAGCATATGCATACAGCTTCAAATTTGATAGCCTTTATTATTATTATTATTATTAGTGTTTGATTTTGCATTAAGTATTTTTTTTTCCCCAGTAAGGAATAGTGATGGGGATATGGAGTTTGCCAGCCGATGGGGGGAAAAAATTTAATTTCTTCAGAAATCTGGAATTTTGCCTGGTGGCAAAGATTGCAAAAATTTGCATTCTACGAAATTATGTTTCTTAAATGATTGAACACTGTTTAAGAAGCATGACTTCACAGAATATATTATAGATATATTAAGTTGCATTTGAGAGGATTTTATGAATCAAACTCTGTAGGTGATGCTGAATTTGTGCAACTCTCTGATATGTTTTTTAATTGAAAATAGATTGTTGTGTACATGACGAGAACAACAGGATAAAAAAATTACATAATTATTTCTTGAAAAAGGGTAAGTGTTTCGTCACATATGTTTCTTGCTTTTTAAATTTTATATATTCATTGCTCTTAGAATACTCAGCGTGCAGCCACTTTCAAAACCATAGCTACCTTATCAGCTTGGCAGAAAATTAGTTGCCAACTTTTGGCAAACTTTTGGAAAGAGATGCGGATAATCAGAAAGTACCCATTTTTACATCATTTCATACAGTACTCATTTTTTATTTATAAAACTTTGTAAAATATGGCATTTTGAAACTCAATGATTTATGGTCATTTGAATTACCCAATACTTATCTGTTTTTACCTATACCCAGCTCCAATTCTTAAAAAAAAAAAAAAAAAAAAAAAAAAAAAAATCATCTCACAAAATTCTCTTAGTTCCAAGAGTTCCACATTAATTATGTTATTATAAACATTCTTTACAATACACTACAATTACACAAATATATTACTTTTCATCACAGTTTCAGTATTAGAAGATTATTTCAACTATGCTCAATAAAATAGGATAATTTATTTCAGCCATATTCTAATATAGCTGAAATTTCACTATTTTTGATGAAACAAAAACACACAAAAAACCTAAATTTCAGTTCTTTCACTTTTGGTACTAAATACATATATTTTTTAAATGACAGAGGTCTCAGAATTTAAAGAATTAAAATATACATTGCTCAAAGAAAACATTCTATTTTCAAAATAAAGATATCTTGAACAATTGTTTTACCTTCAAGTTCAAAAATTATGTTTTCCCCCCATCACAGGGTGCCACAGAAATTTAGGAACCTTTTTAATGTAATAATTTCATAGACTTATTAATAGTAATAAAAAAATAGCATCATACAGTGTCAAAGTTTTGACAAGTTTTGTTTGTGAAAGTTTTGACACTGTATGATGTTATTTCCACAATATTTGAATTTGATAACGAACCTTCTTCTGGGAATGAACAATTTGCATTAGAATTAGATTAGATTATTTTATGACAAGCCACACAAAAGTTACCTGTCTCTAGGAAGAGATTTCTAAGGAAAACTAAAAAAACTGCACACCTTCATACCATTTAAATGCTACGAATAGATCCCCAGATATATCAGTGTTTCACAGCTTTAGTTATTGGTTGGCCACGCAAGATAAAATATACTTTGATTAAGAAATAATAATACAGAAAAACAAAAGACTAAGAAGAATACATCATTTACTCTGAAATGTGCATAAAGCTGTGGTAAAATAAAGCAGTTAATACAGATTTAAATTTACTAATATATGCCAAAATAAAGTATTTAATAATGTTAGCTTTCCTCACAAAGAGCCAGTTAACAGTTCATAGAAATGGATAAACAACACTTTTATGAACTTTGACTTGATTCTAGATGAGGGGAAGTAGCATTATTAAATAATGCCTTTTTATTTATATAAGCATACTTAAATTATAATTAAGAAATATATATATACAGTACCAAGTCCAAGATTCGGACATCCAATATCCGGAATGATCTAAAATCCAGACCTCAAAGCCACAAACTTTTTTTGTATGCTTTACCCATGCACATTTGATTTTTCCTCCTATAATGAAACATGGGGAGAGTCCCGATTCTTAATTTCACTTAGGCACTAAATAACATACCTCATTATTGAAGAATAAATCATTTAAGCATAAATTTCTGAAATCAGTAATTTTGCTCCATATCTGCATATCTGCTTGGCATACATTTCAAACTGAAACATTCTACATAGAAACATGGCTGTATTTTTTAACTACTAGTATTTCATATCCCTGACGCCAACCTGGCGAATCATTATTCATTATATTTTACTTTCATCACCACATGTTTATCAACACATGATAACTTGAATAATGACTCATGCTAAATAACAACAGTATGACACCCTTTTATGCTGACATCACGCTTGGCGATGATTACAATTAAATGCGCTAAGAAATGCTGACGAGGAAAAATTCAACAAAAATTTTTTTCATATGCTAAAAATAGATTTTGTTAATGAAACTTAGAGGCCAAAAGATTACATTTAATGCTATTTGAATTAAGAATAACTCATATGATATTCACATAAACCCAGAATTGGCATCAGAGCTTGTATGGCCGTGCTGGGCAGTAGGGAATACAAAATTTTTGGAATTTGGAGTAGCAAAATTAAGGGACGAAATTTTTTTTTTAATTTTAGGGAAAGCACTGGGAGCTAAAGTTTAGGGGCGGCAAAAATTTAGAACTTGGGAAGGCACTTTGGAGCAGAATTTAGGACCTGCAAAGACTGCATCAGGCAGTATCTAGCAACGGCCCTACATAAGCCTTAAGTATATGTGGGAGTTTATTTATTCAGGACTCAGATTAGCCTCAAGCATCAAGAAATAATTGTGCAAGAAATAATTGTAGTTATAATAAATAGCTAAATACAGTTCAGACTTAATTCAGTACGCTATAGAAGCAAAATAAAATTTAATGGAACAACTTGTCTTTCGTCGCCAATCTTATAATGCATAGCCAATAATGTATAGCGGACGCTATTAAGCAAGGCTAAAATTATCTTTACTGATTCTAAAGGATTTCAGTTAATGCAGTAGGCTGAGCTGCTCCTTAATTTTCAAATTTGACCCAGCTTATTATTTTTTGCAGACTGTTATTATTACAGCAATTTTATGAAAATTAAAGCTTGAACTTTTGATTATGTGAAAAAGAGTTTCTAATTCTGGAGCTACAAAAGGATCTACAAAGCGAAAGCATGTTTCAATGTCCATTAAAGAAAAAATGGAATTGCTGCAAAAAATGAATAAAGGCATATCCATATCAAAATTATGTGAGGAGCATGGCAAGGAAAGTCGACTGTACATGGCACAAGAAAAACAAAAACGGAACTTTTTGAATTTTTGGTGATTCTGGTACCCCACTTGCAATGAATAACAGAAAAATTGTTCGTTATGCTAAAAGTGACGATCATGACAAAGTGATGATTGAATGGTCAGACAAAGATGCAGCGAGGGCGTGACATTCACGGGTCCAATGCTAATGGCTCAAGCCAAAATTTTTCATGAAGAAATAAACTTATAAACCGAGTGCAGATATTTGACAGGTTGGGTAACCAAATTTTAAAATCCCGATGGTATGAGGCAATTAAAAATTTCAGTTGATACTGAAGCTCCTGAAATATTTGCAGATGAATTCATAGAACTTCTTACCAGTGAAAAATTATCTCCAGAACGAATTTACAACGCTGATGAAACTGGTCTTTTCTGGCAATATATACCGGAAATATCTTGGCAACCTCTAACGAAAAGGTTCCAACTGGTGTCAAAAAATCCAAAGCGAGATTAACAATTTTAGCATGCATAAGTGCTGCAGGAATACACAAGTGCAAAATTTTCATAATCGGAAAAAATGCGCGACCTCAAAGGGAATAACAATTTTCCCTGTTATATATTGTGCAAATAAAAGAAAATGGATGACACAAATGTTAATGAATGATTGGTTTGAAAATAATTTTGTACCCGAGGCTGGGCAACATTTGAATTCGCTGTAATAAACGAAGATGACATAACAGAAGTTATTATTGCGATGACAACGCCCCAATCATCAATCAATTAATGGATGGCGAAATCTGTAGTATGGTTCTAGATCTAGAAAATACCACTATCGATAGTAAAGAAAGTGACAGAGAGGTTATTGAAAACAAAAAAAATTTCAATTGACAAGTTAGTTGACATTCTGGACACAGCAGTTACAGGACTTGAACTGTGGAACTTTGTACTTGAACAAGAAATTATGTCTGTTTATGGAATTAAAGAAAATGTTTTAGCACACACACACATACACACACACACACACAAAAAAAAAAAAAAAAAAAAAAAAAAAAAAAAATAAAATAAAAATAAAAATAAAAAATAAATAAAAAAATAATAATAATAAGCTATGAACAACTTACATTGCAAGAAATGTTTAATAAAGAGAAAAAATAAATGTTAACTTTTTTTGTGTTTTTTGTAAATTTTGATACTCTTTAGATCATAAATCACTATATCATATTTTATTTGTATAATTTCTGCATGCCATCTTGCTAGATTTAAATTGATGATCTAATATCCCAGAAAATCCCAAATCAGAAAACACCAAAGTCCCGACGAGTCTGGATCTTAGACTTTGTACTTTATTTCTATTTGCAAGGCAGATAAAAGAAAATATATACAGTTAATTAGTTTATTAATAAAAACTAATTACTTTAAAATTAAGGAACACAGCAATCCATTTGAAGACACTGCTAGGCCCTGTATCATCATGTTCTTTAAATCGAGATCTATACCAACTTTTTCATGTTGAAATTTTATTTCTGAGGGAAAAAACATAAAACATAAGTAAGCTGCATAAGACAGCTTAAATATTACACTCTCATTATTATTAGAAATTTGCTTTCTTTCCCATTAGATTATGAAACTTCTTATTTTAAACTGAGTAAATTTATTTTGATGATAAAGCGGGGTTTCCAATGAAATGGAAATTTAATGCTTCTGATTCAATATAGTGAATACGTATGCATATTAAATATAAGTAACTAAATAATTTTATACATTTTCTACTGTACAGTAAAATAACTTTTTAAAAATGCAAAAAAATCAATTTATATTATTCATCATAGCACAGCAAATGAAAAATGTACATAACGAATGTGTATCTAAGTTATTCAAAAAAAGCAGTTGAAATAAAAGATTCATTTTTTGAAAGAAATTTATAATAGTGCATCATTCATAATAAAAATTACTTCTATCGCATTAAAAATATTGAGGAATTAGGAATAGTACTAGATGAAAGAGTGTTATATTAATATAATTATTATTATAACGTGCAATCACAAAACACAATGACTTCTAATTTTTATTGGTTATATAGTGGTCATCAAAATTAAAGAATAATGAGAAAACATATCCTCACTAAGTTAATGTTGCAACCAATGCTGTAATTATTTATGTTGACTAAATACCAACTGAGCATAAAATTGTACTTCCGCACATACATTAGCAATGGAAATGTACAAATTTGGTGAATGACAATGTGATGTGCAATAAACACATGTTGGAATTCTGGTCTGTAGTGTTGTTTAAAGTGAATGTGGTTTCTGAGAGTGATCAGTATTTGGTAGTTATGGCTCAGCCACTCAATCCAGGTTCCAGAGAGGCCCGTTTAACTGGTGTCATTGTCATGTTCAAAGGAGCCAAGACAACTGGGCCCGAGTATTGCTTGCTGATGAGTCCAGATATAGTGATTCTAGACATGCTTTGATCTGGAGGGAGGAAGAAACATGCAACTTGCCTTTCCTTGTCTGTGAAATACCCCATCTCAAGCTTGTAGTTTAATGGTTTAGGGAGGAATCATGAGAAATGCTATATTATCTTTCAAGAAGGTTCTGTAACCATTCTAATTCCGCGCTTTTTGCTAACGGATGACAATGCTTGGCTTCATTGACCATATGTGGTGTTAGAATACTTACAAACAGAAGTATTTATTATCAGAAGCATTAAACAGAAGTATTTATTACAAACAGAAATATTAAACAGAAGTATATCATTTGAATGGATTGGCCACCTTACTCACCCAACTTGAACCTGATTGAACATATATGCAATGCCTTATGGTGCTGAATTCCAGCAAGCCAAATTCATCCCCGCACCTTTCAGGACTGAAAAGTGGCGTGCAATTAAATAAGACTCAAGTCTTTGGAACTTTGGAAAAGTCTATTATGAAATCAAGATGTGAGGTATGCATACATGTATGAGGCGACCATACACCATATTAAAGAAAAAGATTTTCCACAACAGGTGACTTACTTTTTCCATAAACTTAGTTTTAATTTCAATATTTTGTGAATAATCAACTATCAAAAATTGTGACTCATTATAACTAATGATTTTGGGCAAATTTCTATTAAACATTTCATTAATATCAACTACATTTTATTTTTGTCATAATCTTTTAATTTTGATGACTAGCATATCTGAATGGTAATTTCATTTTCAAAGAGAGAAGTGACAAAATTTTCTAAAGAGGATGGTGAACAACAAGTGGACACAAAAACTATTGATAGAAAAAACTGCATCAGCCACAAGGGGAGTAATACCGACTGCAAGAAAAACAGTTATAAGAATAGTTTTTCTTGCAGTCAGTTTTTTTTTCCGGGGGGGGGGGGAGCAATTTTTGTTTTCTGGTATTATTTAAAATACAGACCTTTTATTATTTGTGAATTTTGAACTGCACTTTTATTTACCTGACTTTACATGTGAGTGAGAGCCTTGAAAATACATGCAGTCAAAAGTTGTTAATCCGGAATGATCTATAATCCAGACCTCAAAGCTACAAACTTTCTGCGCATGCATCAACGCATATTGCGTTCACGCATGCGCATAGGCATTTACGCATGCACGTAATACTTTTACGCATGCGCATAATACACGCATGCGTATTTAACGTATAACAGATGGTATAAGCTAAGCTAAAATTATCCAATTATCTATTTCAGTTAATGTTGCAGATTGTGTTGTTCCTTAATCTTCGAATTGGATCCGGCTTATTATTTTTTTGCAGACTGTTAGAGCAATTTTATAAAAGTAAGCTTGAACTTTCGACTATGTCAAATAGAATTTCCGATATATATTTACTAATATGTAAAGGATCTACAAAGAGAAAGTATGTTTCGATGTAAATCAAACAAAAAGTGGAATTGCTGCAAAAAATGGATAAGGGCATATCCTTTCTTTCTCTAACCATTCCGAAATCTGTTTATCAAAGGGAGGGGGGCACGTCGCGGTGCACAATGAACTGGAAGTTGATCTGTCAGCACTATCCTTATCTTCAGGGCAGATGTTTTTATTTTATTCAGCTTATAATTCCTTACTAAATGTAGTATTTCATCTCGATGTATTCTGTCTTTGATAAGATTTAAATCAAATTCCTCGTCATTATAAATATCACGAGTACACATCAAATAGTTTTCTAGTTGCAATTTTCTAATTTCGACTATGCATAATGTATGCTTTACGCATGCGTGCGTTGAAAGAAATGTTTAATAAAGTAAACAAACAAATATTAAGCTTTTTTTTGTTAATTTTGATACCCTTTAGATCATAATTGCTCTTTATTTCATAAATTACGGTTTCATATTTTTAATTTTATAATTTCTGCATGCCATCTTACCAGATTTAAACTGGTCTAAAATCCGGAATCGCCGAAGTCCCGACGAGTCCGGATTAAAGACTTTTGACTGTATATACAGAATGACAGTTCTCATGTCGAAATAGATTTGTAAATTTATCTTTCTACAGGCATACTTGCCAACCTATGACACTCAAAAATCAGGAGAATTTTTTTTTAAGAAATCGGGAGATTTTTCCCAATGTTAAAAAGACTTTTTAAACAATGAAAATATATTTTTAATAATGAATTAACTTTAAATAGCATACTTGCCAACCTATGACACTCAAAAATCAGGAGATTTTTTTAAGAAATCAGGAGATTTTCACAATGTTAAAAAGACTTTTTAAATGATCAAAATATAATTTTTAATAATGAATTAACTTTAAATAGTTACTAATTCTTAAATGCAAGCAACACAAAAATATCTTATACATAAAAAACATTTTTATTACTTGCATCATTTAAGAAAACAACAACAAAAAAGCCATTTTAATCAATTTTCGTACGAATGTTATGAACAGTGACAGATTTTGCTTTCGTATTCAGAATGTTATGAACAGTAGCAGATTCGTGCTTAGATAAACTTACGGTAATCGGAAAATGTTTCGTGTGTTGAGTAAATATCTTTTTTTTTTATTTCGAGAGAAATTTGTATCAGCTTTACGCTTATATTTTGCAGTATTATTTTGAGAACTGCCAGTTGAATTGCTGAATGGTGCAGAAATTACTTTATTTTTCTCAAACCTATTTTTAACAATGGAAGTTGTAACTACATCTCCATTTACTTTAGGTATTTTATAACTTTCAATAGAGCCTTTTATCTTAACTCTCGAAGCATTTACTTCTTCTTTAAAAAATGCAAGAAGTGGGTTCCATTGATCAAGGATTCTAGATAAGCATTTCTTTAAAGACAGCCAGCATGTACACAGATGTTTCAAAAATTTTTCTCATTTCAGTATTTTGCAGCTGTTGGAACTGTTTCAATTTTTCCTTCCTTTTTTAGAACTCCTTTCAAGATAATAATAAATATCAACAATGTTTTCATCCACATAACTAAAGAACATCCAAATAACAGCCTTGAGCTTAACAATAACAGCTTGATTTGTGCTCATTGGCTAATATATGCCAGATGACACGCAGTGGAGCTCGATGCCCATTGGAGAACGACGTTTTTGGATACGTATGCTCCCACTCACAAAGCAGAAATTCTCATCTGATTAGCAAGGTTTTGTTTTAGATATGATCTAGAGAAAATTCAATTGCTTTCAGACGTCCAAAATCAGATTTTTTTTTTTTTTTGTTGTTGTTCATATAACAAAGTATTAAGCCAAATTCCATAAAAATCATGAGAAATTTTAAAAATAAGAAAAAGTCAGGAGAAATATATTGTAAATCGGGTTGGCGGGAGAGCGGTCGAAAATCGGGAGTCTCCCGCCTAAATCGGAAGAGTTGGCAACTCTGAAATAGTTACTATTTCTTAAATTCAAGCAACACAAAAATACCTTACACATAAAAAACATTTTTATTACTTGCATCATTTAAGAAAACAACAACAACAAAAAAGACACTTTAATCAGTTTTCGTACAAATGTTATGAACAGTGGCAGATTTTGCTTTTGTTAAGAAAGAAACTTCATAGAAATTTTTGTTCATAGCAATTGCCACGTAGGCCTGCATTCACTAATAAAAGTTTTTCTAATGTGTCATCACTAATATTAGATCTAAATTTACTCCTCGTTTTTGCAACAACACTGGAAATCCTCTCACACTCTGCATTACTATGGGGAACTGTCAAGAAGGCCAACATAATTCTAGACAGTTCACTATATTTTAAAATTCCATCAGCACCTTTCAGTTTTCCAATTAAACTCCACTGGGTGTCAATCCTAGATGATTTTATGACTTCATCCAAGTTTTCTAAGTGTAAACTGCAAAATTGCGACTGCAATATTATCAGTGGTAACATCAATATCATCATCTTTTATGACTAAATGAAGTAACACAGGAAATCTGTTCAAAAATTACCTTATATTAAAAAAAGATGCATTTGCTAGAGCAGAAACAACAGCAACTTTAGCATGCAAAATCATTTCATCGTTGACTGGAAATTTATGTAGTATGTAATCACATACTCGACAGAAGTAACTTCTAACGTGAAAATAAAACTTATTTTTGTCTTCTTCTAAAAGTTCTTCCACTACTTTTGTAGTTGCAGCTTCTATTACCAAATCTTCATCTTTTTTTCTGATTTTCTATTTCACCATAAATCACATCGTATATAGAATTACAAGACAAAACACAGACTGGTTTTACAAACTTTGATAAAATGTCTTTAAACAGATCATAAATCATGAATTGCAAAACATGAATTAATGGAATTCTGCTTTGTAGAACTGTGTTAAGAATATCGAATGATGGCAAAATGAATTGTAAAATAATAAAATAATAATAATAATAAATAAATAAATAAAAATAAATAAATAAAATAAAAAAGCAAAAAGATTTGTTAAGGTCCGAAGAAAAAAACATAAATATTTGTTCTTCACAAGATAAACTTACAGTAATCGGAAAATGTTTTGTGTGTTGAGTAAATATTTTTTTTTATTTCGAGAGAAATTTGTATCAGCTTTACGCTTATATTTTGCAGTATTATTTTGAAAACTGCCAGTTGAATTGCTGAATGGTGCAGAAATTACTTTATTTTTCTCAAACCTATTTTTAATAATGGAAGTAGTAACTACATCCCCATTTACTTTAGGTATTTTATAACTTTCAATAGAGCCTTTTATCTTAACTCTCGAAGCATTTACTTCTTCTTTAAAAAATGTAAGAAGTGGGTTCCATTGATCGAGGATTCTAGATAAGCATTTCTTTAAAGACGGCCAGCGTGTACACACATTTCAAAATTTTTCTCATTTTAGTATTATGCAGCTGTTGGAACTGTTTCAATTTTTCCTTCCTTTTAGAACTCCTTTCAAGATAAAAATAAATATCAACAATGTGTTCATCCACATTTAATGGTAAAGAAGCTGCCCCTTTTTCAGCTTCTAAATTTAAGAGGTGACAGGTGACCCTCAAAATCTGCAAATCTGAATTTTCCTTTCTTACGATGCCTACAACACTAGTCTTCAAGCTCACCATTACTGGTGCATTATCGGCACTAAGTGCTAAGCAATTATCCAGAAAGGCTGCATTTTCTTTTAAAGTTTCAATAATTAGCTGTGCTATATTAAAGCTTGTCGAATGTTCTTCTAAAGTGGGGACAGAAATAAACTGCACTCAATTTCTGAAGACTCTGGATTAAAAAAAGAAAGAACAATTGGATACAGTTTTGAATGTGTATTATTGCCTCCATCCGTAGAGAGGCAAAACGGAGCTGTTTTAATGCAATCAATAACTGAAGATTTCTTTAACAATTGCACCTGTTTTGGCCCTTGCACTTGAGTATTTCTTAGCAATTTCACTATCGGGAAACATTTTTCTGAATAAAGCTGCAGCATGATCCGATTCATTCAGTTCAGCATTACGCCAAGTTCCATAAAAATCATGAGAAATTTTAAGAATAAGAAAGGGAGAAATATATTGTAAATCGGGTTGGCGGGAGAGCAGTCGAAAATTGGGAGAGTTGGCAACTTTGTACAAGGTAAGGGCAAAATGCAAATGATTAAAAAAATTAATTACTTCGATACATTTTCAAACTTTTAGAAAATTATGAAGGCAATGAAATAGTTAAGATGAAGTGTATACCTGATATAAACTATAATCCTCATGCACATAAATCATAAAATATAATCCTCATGCACAATATGGCTAAGTATTCATTACTACTGCTCCACTTACTGATGGCCTAATGCCATTCTGTATCATAGTATTTCTAACCCAGCAAAGCACAAGTAGTCTTTTTTTTTTTTTTTTTTTGTCTATGTCAAGTCTCTTTTGGTCTATGACATACCTGATGTATGTTAATTTTGCAAAATAAATTTAAGAGTTTCCTAAAATATTCCTAAAATAACATTTAAAAAATTATTATAGCATAAATAAACTTCAATACTTATTTTGACTACTGGCATTGGTAAATTATATTAGAGCTCATTGCTATTTAATTACTGGCATTAATGAACTATACTACAGCTCATCACCTACTTCATATATCACTAAGACTTAAAATTCAAACATAACCAAGGTTTATGAGGTATCTCGCTGTTATTCTTAACTATACCTGAGAAATAATCAAATTAACTTCAACACAATATTTAAAAAAAAAAAAAAATAATAATAATCTTTCATCAGACTGTGGGATAATGTTTATACCTTATCTAACATCTTTTAAATATCAGCTGAATTATAATATTCTATAAAATCCCTTCATCGTCACCTCTTCACTTTATGTTCATTATTTTGTTTTATAAAATGTTTTACCTTTCTATGTTCTCAATCTTAGGAAAATTTTCATTTGAGTAAAAAGATATTAAAATACATATTCAAATAAAAAATTAAATGAAATGAGATAAGAAATATAAGAAAGGTTCAACTCTAAAAATACTGCTATTAAAGAGGTTAATTACATAGCATTTTACTGCCCATGATTTTACATCAATTACATTAAAAAACAGATTAAAACACAAAAACATAGAATTAATGAAATAAGCCAGGGGCAAAACAATATGGTTTCAACTATAGTTAATTATCACATTGTCTTTCACACATTTGGTTTCCCCAGGCTACAGAGGTCCATATTGAGACACAGTACTCCAGATACTCAATAAAAATCATGGAATATGGAAGTTCCAAACTTTGTAATATTATAATGTGGGTAAATAATCATTTTGCATCAGTCTTATTATGCAATATAATGTTAAAGAAATTGAGTTGACTACTTTCTGAAAAAAGTGAAATATTTTATCCATGTTTATTAGAGAAAGAAATTCAAATTATACATATTCCAGTTTTAAGGGCTCTAACAAAATGCTTCACAAAATTTCTACAGTTTTACATTTAAATTCTGATAAATCAATAACAGATGTACGATATATTTATATAAAGACTCTTTTCTACTTCAAAAATTTGTTTCAGTAAGGCAAGATGAAATTTAATACCACTTGCTAAAACAGTATTTTTCAATTTTAACTATATATTTAACTTGTATATTTATACAAATTATGTTATCTTTATTATAGAAAAGATATATTTAATATGACACTAAGCAACTAAAATAAAAGTTTTCTCTAAGACTTACCATCATTCCCTAATGAAACTTTGATTTCAACTAATAAGCCCTCCATAGTTGCAATCAGCACACGGTATTGAGGCATTGCTGCATCTAAAACACTCATTCCTAAAATATAAAAGAAAAATTAACTATGTGTCATGTGATCTTTTCAACTGGCCAATTTTTAAGCCACAATATTTCTTCAATTTTAAGGTATACCCTTTCTTCCCAGATAAATATAGCAAAAACAGACTACATATTAGAATCAGGAATCTTCCATAATTATTCCAAATTAATTAATTTTTCTGAATTATTCATTTAAGTTTATATAATATTGATGTTTATACATCAATCTCAACTACGGATTTTAGCGCAAGTATTCAGCATTCTTAATTACTCATAATTACCTTGTTTACTTAGAAATTTGATTAGATATATATATACACACACAGGATGTCTCAGAAAATCAGTTAAATTTCAGAAGATATAGAGTACACCTAGATGATGGAAAAACACATAGCAATGCACAGTTGGAAAGGGTTTCCTGATGTGGTGTAATGACGACACAAACACAAGGAAGGAAGGATTATTAACATATAATGCAGCTGGAAAAGAATGAACAATAAATCTAATAATAACTACATGCAACAATAATAAGTATTGTTGCGTGCGTACGGGTTCGTTACGAAATGAATGCACAAGTCCGATGAAAAATGAACAAAAATTTATTATTATCACAACAAAAATGCTTAAATTTTCTCAAATTATCATGCAGTATTACAATATCTCACAGTAGTTATCTTTTAACTACTCAAATATCCAATAGAACGTAATTCAAAACAGCTAAAGAACGCTAATCCGCGAATTCGCTACAATCAACAACAGTAGTTTTCTAAACAACAACAAACTAAGCAACTACTACAAACTGAGATGTTTTCCTCCTTTTATAAGATTTTAAAATCACACGCTAGAATTTTCCAGTACTTTCTCGAAATCAAAAAGAGATATTTATTTATTTAATGCACGCGCTCTTGTATTTTCAATTTTCCGGCTTAGCTCTCTTTTAATATTCGTCACGCGCTGCACTGCGCGAGAAATAAAACCATTTAATTTATAATTGAACTAACATTAGCTTTTTAAATACCAAATTCGTAACACTGCCCCCTTCCAAGGACTGCACGTCCCGGGCAGTACAATCCCTGGACAGGAAGCTAAACTTACAACTGTGGCATAAATGCATTAATAAGCATTTCATTACAATAATAAACAACATGAACAATAAATGCAATACAAAAAAACAAATCAAATGCTATCAAATACAAATCAAATACACATTTAAAAACAAAATGGACCATGGTCTTATACTATTTACAATTATTTACATTATGTACTATGGCCATAGTAACGAGCTAACCTGTCGTAATGAACGACTTTAGGTTTAGAGTTCGAAGACTTACGAATCCGAACCACGACGTCATTCAGCCTGTTTAGGACTGTGTACGGCCCATCCCAAGGTGACTGTAATTTCGGACAAAGTCCTTTCCGTCGAGTCGGATTCCACAACCCACACCTTGTCTCCTTCGTGGAATTGATGTTCAGTAGCTCTTGTGTCGTATCGGGTCTTCATCTTCTCCGTCGCCAAGTTGACTCGCTCTCGTGCAAAATTGTGCATCACTTCAAACCGGGCCTGGAGATCTTGAATATATTCCTCAGACGATGAAGGAGCATCCGGAGGGCGGCCAAACAATAGATCACAAGGCAGACGAAGGTCACGACCGAAAGAAGAGCATCTGTGATGGAGAGTAGCCGGTAGTCTCGGGACAGCACTGCGGTAAGCCAGTAAAAAAGAGTGGTAATTTCTTGTCCCAGTCCTGTTGGTTTCTGGAAACCACTAATGAGAGGTTATTAAGGATGGTTCGATTGAACCTCTCTACCATGCCGGTCCGACTGGAGATGCAATGCGCGTCGTTTGAGTTTTGTCAATGCCAAGTAGTTTGCATAGTTCTTGATTACTGCCGAGGCAAAAATTCCTTCCCTGATCGGAAATGTAACTGAAGAGGCACTCCGAATCTGGAAATCCAGCGCTGTATCATTACCTCAGCTACTGTGACTGCCTCTTGATCAGGAATAGGATAAGCTTCAGGCCACTCGGTGAAGTAATCAATGACAACGAGTATGTATTTGTTGCCATCAGCAGTTCGTGGCAAGAAGTCCCAGGATGTCAAAGGCGATACGTTTGAAAAAAGGCGCACCTACGTTGTAACGTTGCAGTCTGCCTCGGCTGCGTTTCCTCGGTCCTTTTCGACCTGCACAGGCATCGCAAGATCGGCACCACTTTTGCACGTCATTCTTTGCATTATTCCAGTAAAAGCGCTCACGAACTCTCTGTAAGGTCTTCATAATTCCAAAGTGACCTCCTGTAGGGCTGTTATGTAGTTCTTTGAGGACATCAGGAATCCGGGATCTTGGAAGTATCAGTTGCCATCGGAAACGTCTTCCCATCATCCGATTTCGAATTTCCGGTATAAGAATGTCTCATATAAAAATTCAGTTTCGAATGTGAAGTGAATATCCCAGAGCGCCCAGTATTGTTTTGTTGTAAGGACTACAGATAGAAATGTTCTGCCATGTAGGTTTTTCTGTTTGATGACTCCTATTAAATCAATTATGGGTTTAATGTCGCTGTCTTCCAGCTGGTCTTTCCTGACTTTCATGATCACTCCATGGGTCTCGATCAGCCGATGTTTGATGTTGTAATTTGTCGTGCGAACGGAGTCAGCAGCTCGTATTTCGCTTCCACCCTGGAACAATATCGGCAGCTTTCTTGGCAAGGTCTTCTAGACAGGGCGTCGGCATTTCCGTGTGATGATCCCTTACGATGACGGATAGTGATGTCATATTCTTGGAGTCTCTGTATCCACCTGGCTATTTGACCCTCAGGATTTTGAAATTTAAAAGCCAGGCCAATGAGGCATGGTCCGTGCGGAGGAGGAATTTTCTCCCGTATAGATAATGATGGAAATGTTCTACAGCTTTGACTATGGCGAGTAACTCTTTCCTTGTGACACAGTAATTCCTCTCCGGTTTAGGCACTTGCTCCAGTAAGCTACTACCTGTTCTTGGCCGTCTATTTCTTGGGACAAAACAGCACCGACACTTTCATTGCTCGCGTCGGTGTCGAGAATAAATGGTCTGTCGAGCTGAGGATACGTCAGGATTGGAGCAAATGTTAAAGCTTCCTTTAAGTTGTTAAATGCATCCTCGCATTCCTTTGTCCACAAGAATCTTTGCTTGCTCTCTGTCAGCTTGATGACTCCATTAAAGTCAGTCTATGGGATGGAAGAAAAAGTCTTCCGAATCTCCTATAGTAGGTGCAAAGCCCTAGGTAGCTTCTCAGCTGACAAACCTTTTTGGGACGCGTCCAGGATTTAACCGCTGATACCTTTTCAGGATCCGTGCGCACATACCTTCTGCCAGAGATGACATGTCCGAGGTAAGTCACTTCCTTTCTGAAACAATTTGCATTTAGCGGGAGTCGAGCTTTCAGATTGGCCTCTTTCAGTTTTCTGAAGCACCACCTTTCTAAGATTTTCTAGATGCTCTGTCAAAACTCTTTCCGACGATGATGATATCGTCCAGGTATATCAGACAGGCTTCGTAGGAAAGGCATTTCAAAACAGTCTCCATAAGGACATTTCGAATGTTGCCGCCGCATTACACAGTCCAAACGGCATCACCTTTGAACTGCCAAAGTCCTTGTCCCGTAGTAAATGCCGTCTTTCTCGGTCATCAGGATGGATTTCTACCTGCCAATACCCACTCTTTAAATCAAGTGTTGAGAACCACTTGCTTCCAGAAAGAGTGTCTAGAATGTCATCAATCTAGGAAGAGGGTAACTGTCTTTCTTCGTAACCTCATTCAAACCGGCGATAGTCAACGCAAAAATCTTGTTGAGCCGTCTTTCTTCTGATGAGAACGATGGGAGATGCCCATGGACTCGCTGAAGGCTCGATGACATCGCCTTCTTCCATATCTTTTAACAGTGTTCGCACCTCTTCCTGTTTAGCAAACGGTAGACGTCTTGGATGTTGCTTGATCGGGGGATGATCGCCAGTATCTATATTCTATGTTGTGTCAAACTAGTTCGACCCACGTCAGAAGACGAGCGGGAGAAAACAACTTGAAGATCTTTAATGACGGCGATCGGCAGCATTTTCTCTCTTCATCGTTTAATTGTGCATTCTTGCAATAACTCCGATGTAATGCTCTCTGAGGACACGGATTTTGGGATGTTACTTTCTTCTTTTCAACGCTGGTTACTGGAGTACATGTCTGCAACCACTTCACCTTTCTTAATAACTCTCTCCCCCTCAGTTACATTGGATAACCGTTCAGTTACATTGGCGACTCTTCACCGGGATAACCGTTCTGGATAGGTCGACGAGTGTTGAGGCTACTAAGTACTCCTTTTGGGCTATATTACAGTTATTGGAGATATTCTATGATGCCGTAGCGGAAATTTCTATTTTCGGCTATGGATCCAGGGAAGTAAAATTTCTGTTCTTGCCGGTATTGTAATATAGTCTTGTGCTATGATTTTATGGACAGATTTAACTTCTTCATCATTAACGAGAAATAACGCTATGTCCTCAGATGTAGAATGCAATTCGTTATTTTTAAAATCCAAGGAAAAATTGTATTTCCTTAGAAAGTCCAATCCGAGTATGCAAGAATCAGTGATCTCTGCTACATATATGCCAGTGTGATGGTAAGCGGCACTTCCAAACGTGATGTTAACATTTACTTTTCCGTCGATGTCGATCTTCTCACCAGACACAGTCTGGAGGGTAATGCAGGGCAGGGCGGCGTCCAGATAAGTTTGTTTCCTAGTTGTTGAGCCAAATCTTTTCGGATGATGGTGACGTTGGCTCCTGTATCTATAGTCCATATTGCACGGAACTCCATTAATATGTCCTATATTATGAAAAGTCCATTGCTGCCGCCTCTCACTGCAGAAATCTGAAGCGCTTTAAACGGGGGCTTTTCATTATCTGGCAACCTCCGCCCCGCCGAGATGGCCACTAATTAGTTTCCCTGCTGCTTGTTAGAAGCGGTCTTAACATCAGTACCCTGGGGTGTTTTGCAGTTTCGTCGTATGTGACCTTCAGCACCGCAGTTCCAGCACTTAACGGTCGGTTTCTTCTCACCAATATTCGTCTCAAGGCGTTCAGTTGTCTAGTTAAATCGTCAAGTCGAGCGGTGACTTGATCCCCTGGCTCCTGGACTTGAGCAGCTCTGACTGGGTGGCGGGTCTCGACGAGTGGCTTGCTGGGCTGCCTCAAATTTCATGGCGTACACTAGAGCACTTTTTAAATCTTTTACATCCGCCATTCGTAGAGCTTTCTGTATTTCAGTATCTCGGATGCCGTCGATAAAGTATTGCAAGGACAGGATTTCCCTTGTTTCTGTCGGGCATTCCGAAAAGGCGAGATGGGACAGCCTTTCAACATCCACGGCGAGCTCCTGAAGTGTTTCGGTAGGCTTCTGTTGACGAGATTTTAATTGGAGCCTGCTGTAGTCTTTTAAACACTTCTCCCCAAAGCGCAACTCCAAGGCGCCGGACAGAGCTTCGAAATCCAACCTTTTGTTTTCGGGAAGCGTCTGCAGGATATCCGCTGCGTCTGCTCTCAGAGAAGCGGCGAGATGACAGGCCTTAGCTTGGGAATCCCATCCATTCGCATCCGCCACGATAGAAAACTGGGTCTTATACACTTGCCAGGATGTCTTCCCATCATATGTGGATAGCTTCAGAGATGGACGAGCAGGCATCGGTAAGAATTTAAAATCATCACTCTTACTCCCAGCTGTCGCTACGAATTTCTTTAAAGTTTCCAGTTCTTTGGCAACCGCACAAACCCGGTCATCAATTTGTTGTTCGATTTGTTTCTGAACGGAACAAACTCTTTCTTCTATTTCTTCTTTAACAGAAGAAACATTTTCCTCAATTTGTCCCACTTTATTCTCAACCGCATCTATTCTGCCTTCCATAGCATCGAATTCGGTTTCTATTATGCAGGCAATTTCTCTTTTCATTTCGCATTGACTTTCTTCAATCTTGACTTGAACAGCTTTTATTTCTTCTTTAACAGATTCCTTAACAACTTTTATTTCGTCTTTAAAGGTTAATTGACCAGTTTGAATGGCTTTCATTTCTTCCTTAACGGATTCTTGGCTCAATTTCATCTCGCCTTTAATTTCTTCTTTAACGGAGTTGACGGCTCCTTCCATCTTTTCTTGGAAAGCAGCAAATGCAGTCATCATTTGCCTGAATTGTTCTTCCATCGCTCTTGTTATTGGCATTCAAACCCCACTCCTGACACCAAAAATTGTTGCATGCGTACGGGTTCGTTACGAAATGAATGCACAAGTCCGATGAAAAATGAACAAAAATTTATTATTATCACAACAAAAATGCTTAAATTTTCTCAAATTATCATGCAGTATTACAATATCTCACAGTAGTTATCTTTTAACTACTCAAATATCCAATAGAACGTAATTCAAAACAGCTAAAGAACGCTAATCCATGAATTCGCTACAATCAACAACAGTAGTTTTCTAAACAACAACAAACTAAGCAACTACTACAAACTGAGATGTTTTCCTCCTTTTATAAGATTTTAAAATCACGCGCTAGAATTTTCCAGTACTTTCTCGAAATCAAAAAGAGATATTTATTTATTTAATGCACGCGCTCTTGTATTTTCAATTTTCCGGCTTAGCTCTCTTTTAATATTCGTCACGCGCTGCACTGCGCGAGAAATAAAACCATTTACTTTATAATTGAACTAACATTAGCTTTTTAAATACCAAATTCGTAACAGTATAATTAAATTTTAATATGATTTTTTTAAATTTCAACTTATCGTACACACTAAATAAACAATGTGACAATTTTTAATCTTTTTTTTAAATCATTCTGTTTTAAACATTTTTGTGAGATTCTTAAGGTGTTTCTAATGCCTTCTTGGCATACCTTTATGGTGTAGCGGTCAGCACACTCCACACGTATTCAAGAGGTTCATGGTTTGAGTCCCAGTGAAGGCATTGCTCATTTTTCATCTCTATTGCTTTAAAAAAATACCTGATGTCTCTCACATCTTTTAAATATCCCAAACTAAAAAAGATGGTGAATGATGATTCTGCAATAACAGGATTTGGCAACTGGGTCCCCTAATCCCCCGTCAGCCTTTCAAAGGGGGAGAATGAAAGGTATTTCTCTCGCCTTCTAGCATGCCTTCGTGGTGTAGTTGTCAGCACGCTCAACACGTAGTTGAGAGGTCTGTGGTTAAGGTCCCGGCGAGGGCGTAGTTCATTTTTCATCTCTCTTGCATTAAAAAAATACCTAATACCTCTACAAAATAATGCATTAACCTTAATGGACTGGATATGGAAAACCATAGGATATAACAAACTAAAGTTCCAATCTCTTCAGGATGGTCTGGGTTGCCGTTTCATTTCATAGTAGGACCCCCTTTGGTTGTCATCCTTCGCAACCTTACAGCACAGCGGTATGTCGACGAAGTTCTAAAGCCTGTTGTGTTGCTTTTCATGTCACGCCACCCTGGGATAAGATTTCAGCAAGATAATGCCCGCCCCCACACTGCACATGTTTCTAATGCTTGCCAAACATTACCTTGGCCAGCAAGGTCGCTCGCCGGATCTTTCTCCTATTGAGCACGTTTGGAGCATTATGGGCAGGGCCCTCCAACCAGCTCGGGATGTTGATGATCTAACACGCCAGTTGGACAGAATTTGGCACGATGGCCCTCAGGAGGACATCCGCAACCTCTATCAATCGATACCAAGCCGAATAACTGCTTGCATAAGGGCCAGAGGTGGACAAATGCGATACTGACTTTTTCACTTTGTGAAGCTCTATCATTTCAATAAATCATCCAATTTTTCTCAAACTGTAATCATTTGTTTTTCTGTGCATCACTTCTACTGATTTTCGTCCTATTCGGATAACTCCTTCTTGGTGCATCTTTTTTTTTTTTTTTTTTTTTGTCTTAGAGTGTACATTTATGCAGATTCTTCATTATTTAATTTTTTCAAATATAATACAGGTCGATAATATTTGGTGGCAACAGTTTGAAAAGTGAAATGGACATTCAGAATGATTCGTGCAAAATTGCAAAATGAAAACAATAGTCCCTCAGGGTCCAAAGGGGCTTTCCCTTTGGACTAATAAGTCAGCACAGTTTGTTGCATTCATTCGTCATGCACAATTTTGCATTAGAATACAAAGTCACTAAAGTCGAAATACATGAAAAACACTTGAAGATCACTTCTAATACATATACAATAAAACAGTTCCCTATTTTGTTTTGAAAAATTAGAGGTAGGATCTTAGAAATAATCATTAAATATAAAATCTCAATTTATAAAATGGTTACATCGTTATACTTCTTGTTTCACAGCTAAGAATGGTCATACAATCAACTTCATGGGGATCTTTTTACTCAGTGTGGGAAACCATTAATCACATTGTTCAACACAAAACACTGTAAAATGATCCAAAAGCCTCTTTACCCAAAAATTTACAGATAACTTATATAAATGAAGCTATAAACTTCTGATTTTAAAGTTGAAAATAACTCCAGTCTTTCTTATATATACACGAATTACATTGGCCGTTAATTATGAATTATATCTTTATTCATTAAAATGTTCTAAAAATTTATGGATGAAAGCATCTCTTGGATCACTCAGCATTAAATGGATGCCACTTAAAAGCAAAAAACCTGAAGATCCTATATAAATTGCAAAAATTGTGCTCTTACTGTTTCTTCTTTTTCACTAAATAAAAAATAATTAATCTTACCAGTAACAGGAAGATTATGCAACCCGAAGGAGTGCCCAACGTTCCTTATTATGATAGATGAATCTGTTAGAGCTATTTCACATCCAACAAGTGCACGCTGCTTAGCAGCTATAATCACATATTTCTTCAAAGCAATCTGTTGAGAATTTGATCTTTATATATTTAAGTTCAATAAAAAAAGTCAAAATGTAATTTATTATGAAATTTTTCAAACAAGATTTTTCTATTTGCCCTAAAAATATAAACATTTAAAATATAGCTTTGAAAAATTTGTAACTTTTTTAATTATCTAATTTAATTTCAAATTAAATCAGATAAAATTTGTTATGTTTTTTTAAACTTATTTTCAACATTCTTAGCAACAAAAATAACAGATTTATGACTATGTCTTATATCAGTAGTACCAAAAATAGCATTGATCATTTGAATTACTTTGAAAACACTTATCTCACATTTAGTGTAAAGCAGACTTACATTTGCAATGCAATTCTATCAATTTGAAAGGTGATCAGATGTAAATTTCTCTTCTTCAGAATGAATAATAATAATAATAACAACAACACAAATAAATACCAGTATTTTAAAGAGGGACTTAATCTGATTGCCCTTGAAACTGATTGCTTTTTGGCAGAATTTTAATTACTACACTCGCATATTTTTTTCCCGACTATGCTTAACACACATTTATGGTATAAAGAGGAAATATAATTTAATTTTGCATCTTAAAATGAATGACATTACATTTTTTCTAAAAACCCTTTTATCACTCAAATTATATCCGACTATAAATATATTCTAGATTTCTATTTTGAACACATTAAAAAAACATCAGTTATTTACATCATAAATAATTATCAATTAGTGAGAAACTGGGAACTCTCAAAATATAACTAACTAAATATATATATAAAAAAAAAACAGCCAACTACTTATTTCTGATAAAATAATTCATAGTTACATACACTGCACTTATTAATTTTCAACTTCAATTCTAAATTTTTAAAGTGTAAATTTTACACAAAAAATCTGAATTACTTTTCCACAAACTTTCAAACAAGAGAATTTTCAAATTTTTACATACAGTTATGAATAAATATTCAAAACTAAACTTTTTTTTAAATAATTTTGCATAAGTTAAAGAACAATTTATAAAAAATTAACAGTATTTATAAATAATTGAAAAAGCATTATCATTGAAAACAATAAATTTGAAATTAATTTGTTTTTAATGAGATTTAAAACAAGCAGAACCACTAAAAATTGGACATATTTCTAATATTTATTCCTTTATTATATCATTTATAAGAAAAAATTATACTATTCCATACTTTTCCCAAAACTTTTTAATTAGAAATAAAAATGTTGTTAAAATGAAACCAATTACTGAAATTAAATCATAATGACTTAAACCTTCAGAACAGCTATTTGATCCACAGCAATATGATCTTCTTCATCCCATACTTTGCACATATTCTTTACTATCACTTTTGGCTCTTGATCCGAATCAACACGAACTGTGATTGGAAGGAAAGCCAAAATGCCTTTCAACGTTCCACACATTAGAAATCCTAAAATAAATTACAAGCAATTATTTTTCAAACTGTCAGATACAATGGAATACAATAAAATACAGAGCTAGGTGTTGATCTTTAATCTACCCGAATAATTTTACTTCAATAAACTTATTTCATTTTAAATATTTTTATTAAAAAAGTTAGAGTACTGTTTTCTAAATTTATGTTACTTTTCATTGCTTTCAAGAATTCAGATAATTAGGCAGTTTTTTTATTTATAAACCTCTAGGAATAAATGGAATCGTAATTTCTAACAGTTATCTCTTGATCAGAAGACAGATAAAAATTGATCAGTTTTTCAAATAATTTAAGAATACAGTATTATGTTAGATGTGTAATACTTCCAAGCAAAATTCCATTTGCTTAGTGCAGAGCCATTTCCAGTTTTTAATTATTAATTTATAATTTAAATGCAATTTTAAAAATAATTTAAAAAGTAAATCAAAAAGAATTATCAACTCTCATTGCCATGAAACTAAATTAAAATTATAGTAGCATATTTTACTCTTAACACAACCTTCATTACTATGGATTTACTGCCCACTAGCGACCGAATGCTAAAATCACTAAACACTGGTAGTTCCAACCTGGGTTAGATTCCAGGCAAACTGGTTGGCTACACGGACATTTTCGTGGTTTTCTTTGCATGTAATGTGTATACGAGCCAGTTTTTCTTAGAAAGTCCTTCATGAAGACATCCCTCCCCTTAGGCACATAGCCTCAATGTGTTTTGCCATAACTAAAATTAAACCTTAAACTGTAGATTTACTTGAGCATTAACTCATTTACTTTGTATATGATAAATTCTCACTAAAACACTTTCATTTGTGGTGATTGGAAATGATTTGCTTACATCAGTTGTAAGGTTAAAGTATTTTTATTTGGCAATTTCTACAGACAGGTAGCCAACTGTTACAACAAATTAACCATATACCTCCAACTGAGGATTAATCAGTCAAATTGAGATCACTGTCAAATACTAATTATATTACGAGGGTTGTTTTCTTTTTCAATGTCCAATCGCACATTATGATGGCCAGGCATGTGGCAGGTGGTTGGTGTGCATAGTAGGCGACTGCGCATCTCCCCTTCCACATGCTCTGTCACTGATGAGTTCAACACGCCATTTCCTGTTGAGTTGCTTTCATGTAAACATGACTATCGCTATTGATTCTCTCACCAGGTGTGAATAGCGAGCTGTTATTCGTTTCTTGCAGGCAGAAGGAAACAGTGCAGCGGAAATTCACCAAAGAATGAGTCAAGTGTATTGAGACAGCTTTATGAGTGATGGCGTTGTTCGTGAATGGTATCAAAAGTTTAAAGATGGTCAAACTGATGTGCATGATGAAGGGGGTCAAAGACACAAGTCTGTCGCTACAGATGACATTGTTCAACAAGTTGGCCAAGTGGTTAAGGAAAATCGAAGGTTCACCATAAGTGAATTATCGATGAAATTTTCAGAAGTTTCAAGATCTTCCCTATACTCTATCATAACTAAAAAGTTGCGCTACAGAAAAGTTTGCGCTCGCTGGATCCCACAGATGATCACTGTGGAACATCTGTGGGATCACGTCAGTGAGACGATCAATAAATTGGCTGAATGGCTGCAGCGCTGGAGTTTCTTGACCGTTAGAGTACTGATGAAGATTTTTTTGAAATCCACTGTAACAAGTGATGAGACATTAGTTCAAAATGACATGCCCGAAACAAAATGACAATCGCAACAATGGATGCACACAAATTCTCCACAAAATTCAAACTAAACTTCAACAACCGTACAGTTACGCCAACTGTTTTTTTGGGACCAAAAAGGTATGTTGCTTGTGGAGTTTATACAGCCTGGAACAACAATTAATGCAGATTCATATTGTGAAACATTGCGACGCTTACAGAGAGCTATTCAAAACAAACAAAGAGGCATGATGACTTCTGGAATTGGTCTGATCCATGACAATGCCCGTCCTCAAAGCACTCGTGTAACCCAGCAGCTCCTTCAGCAATTTGAATGGGACATTTTCGAAAACCCACCATATAGTCCCGACCTAGCACCGAGTGATTTTAATCTTTTCCCTGAACTGAAGCAGTGGCTTGAGGGGCAGCACTTCCAAAATGACTTCGAGCTCAAAGAAATCTTCACTACTCACTTCCAATAATTGGTGGAAACATTTTATGAAGAGGGTATTGCAAAGCTTGTTCACGGATATGAAAAATGCTTCAATCGTCAAGGTGATTATGTAGATAAATAACCTATATTGTACAATACTTTTGGTAAAAAAAATCTTTTTTGTATATCCACCTATCTTTTCTTTATAGCCCATCGGAGGTTGAAAAAAAAATAGCCTACGTACATTAAGTGTAAAATTAATTCAGGGAATTATTATGATGACATAATAGCAAATAGTATCCAAACTTTACCCTAAATAGAGGGTAATTACACATCAGAATAAAAAGGAGCAGCCATTTTCATTTAAAAATTATTTTCTGATAAACTCGTCAGTATTTCCTTCTAAAGATCTGAGAAATACACACGACTCATTTACAGCCAAAAGTAAAATTACAGTAAAAATACGTCTTCATTTTCCTAGCAAATCTTAATCTTAGAAAAAATAAATATATAAAGTAAATAAATATATAAAATTTTGAAAAAAAAAAAAGTTAAAAAAGTTACTATTTATTAATTAGTATTAACTGCATACATGCATGTACTAGTTTAACAAACCTCGTTTTTATAAACATCAAATATCTGTAAATTTTTTCAGGTATGTATACAGTCAAAAGTCGTTAATCCGGACTCGTCGGGACTTCGGCAATTCCGGATTATCGATTTTCCGGATTATCGATCATCAGTTTAAATCTCGTAAGATAAGATGGCATGCAGAAATTCCAAAAATTAAAAATATGAAAACCGTAATTTATGAAATAAAGAACAATTATGATCTAAAGGGTATCAAAATTTGCAAAAAAGAAAAAGCTTAATATTTATTTGTTTACTTTATTAAACATTTCTTTCAATGTAAGTTGTTTAAGTTTTTGCTTCGTTTCATGTGATAATACTTTTCTCTTTAATTCTATTAAACAGACATTAATTTCTTGTTCAGTTACAAAGTTCCGCCGTTCATTCAAGTCTTATAATTGCTGTGTCAAGAACACCGACTAATTTGTCAATCGAAATTTTTTTGTTTTCAATAACCTCTGTCACTTTTCTTCGCTATCGGAAGCGAATTATAATGACGAGGAACTTGTTTTTTAAATCATATCAAAGACGGAGCATATCGAGATGAAATACTACATTTGGTAAGGAATTATAAGCCAAATAAAATAAAAAACATCTGCGCTGAAGATAAGGATAGTGCTGACAAATCAACTTCCAATTCATTACGCCGCCGCCGAGCAAGCGCAGCGTGAAAATGATAAACAGATTTCGGATTTCAAAACATTACTTTCGCTTTAGATCCTTTACATATTAACAAATATATCGGAAATTCTATTTGATATAATCGAAAGTTTAAGCTTTACTTTTTATAAAATTGCTCTTACAGTCTGCAAAAAAAAATAAGCCGGATGCAATTCGAAAAAATTAAGGAACAACGCAATCATCAACATTAACTGAAATAGATAATTATTTAGCTTATACGTCCATTATACATAAAATGCGCACGCGAAAACGTATTCTGCACTTGCGCACACTCATATGCGCAGTCGTAAAAGGTCTTACGCGCACGCGTGAACGCCTCTGTGCATGTGTCAATGCGGCGCATGCGCAGAAAGTTTTTAGTTTTGATGTCCGGATTATAGATCATTCCGAATTATGGGTGTCCGAATTAACGACTTTTGACTGTATAGCAAGAGCAAAGTTTCATTTCTAACGATGACCTACGCATCTGCATGCAGAATTTGCTCTGTGGAGTTTTCTTTTCTTTTCTCTTATGTCAACAGGCAAGAAGTTTAGGAATCAGTTGAAAGAATTAAGAATTTTGATGCACCAGAAGGCTGCAGCTTAATGATGCATTTATTAATGAAAAATCTAACCTTGGTGAAATATGATTATTTTTTACTGCTGAAAGATAAAACAGAAAAGCTGTGTCATTCAGAATTTTCATTTTCAAAACTTTGTTGCTCTACTGTTACAGTTTCAAGAATTAGCTTTTCCTTTTTTTCTATGTTTATTATATCTTATGTTTAAGGTGTCATATTTTGTGTCGTTTTACTTGCACGTATGAATTAGTTATTTTTGGTCAGCAGACTCCAAAAAACTTAGTTTTTTACTTAATTGTTAAGCAAATTTATATTTTTGATGCTGTTTCTTTACAATTTGTGTTCCTCTTATACTTTTATTTAACCCACTTCATCCTGTAAGGGTTGAACTGATGAAGACCCAGATTTCTATGATAATTTTTCTATGATTTAGTGAAATATTAAATTATAATTTGTCATTTGTGTATCAGTTCAAAAACACGTCGATTTGTTTACTACTTTCACTGCAGCAACTCCCTCATGCCGATGCGACAAAATGATGTAAATAATCTTTTTTTTTTGGCCCCTTTTCAGGAAATTTCATTCAAATTCATTTTCAATGTGTTCTGCTTCTTGACTTTATTTTGAATGATTTGTTGTTCTCAGTTCAATATGGGATGGATTTAAATGTTTTTATTTTTACTTTATAATATTACAACCATTTGTTGCAGCTATCAGGGTATAACTGGATAAGGTTTTTAACTGCTTTTTTATTTTACATTTATTCATACATATGCATAAAACTAAATTTCCAAACTAAGGAAAATATAATTTAATGCATAATTTAATTAAGAAACTAAGGCAAACATAACATAATAATGTTTAGATGTTGATAGATATTGAAATCAAAATAAATTAAAAAGTAAGTAAATTCCCTGAGAGCACATATTTTGTGTTCTAGCAACCCATTTGGCACTTTTAAAAACGGCAGCAAAGTGCGAAATGTAATTAAGGATAAAAAAAACTCACCAGCAGTTGGACTCGTTTGTTGCCAGAACAGTGTGGTTAGTAATCCTAAACCAGTATCCCACTCATGAGCAAGTGCTATTCTGAAAAACAAAAACAATACATTTTTCAAAGAAAATATATTTTAAAACATTTATAATATTTCCTGCATGAAACTAAGAGATGATGGTTTTAAAACACTGTATTTTATTAGTGTTTACATTAATATTTATAGACAGTTTTGTTGTTAAAAGGAAAACTGGTATCATCTAATATACATATATATATATATATATTAATATTAGACGAAACCAGTGATGATATTATGATTTTCAAACTGACCAGTGCTATTTATTTATTTATTTATTATTTTATTCATTAAAACCATGTGATTTCACATCACTGTACATGACATTTTTCTAATGTAAATACTGAATTAAATGACTGAATTTTTTTATTTTAATAACATTCAACCTTTTTTACATATTTATACAATCATCATTATGCATACAATAATTTTCATCTTGTTTGAATAAATATATTTATATGGATATCTATTTAGAATCTTACATATTTCTTAACTAAAACTTGGCAAAAATCATGTTAACTTGAATTTTCAATAGCTAAAAATGCTTTTCTGCTACTTTTAACTTTTTTAAATAAAAATCTCAGTGTATATCTACAAAGAAACATATTACATATTAAATAAGTATATTCCTATTACATATTAAATAAGTATTTAAATATTGGTAACAGATAAATTAGCTTACACATTTCCATCACTAGGAGATACTTTCCAAAACTGAATGTGTCCACTCTTCATAGCAACTATTAAATAGCAATACTCATAACTGGTGTCATTTATAGATGTTGCTGGAGAGCCAAACATACCAGTCCAAGTAATTTCTGAATTAAATTAAAAATAAATATTTCATGCTTGTATAGTTTCACTATAAAGGGGTACTAAATAAACTGATTAAATAACAGATTTTTGATAAATATAAGACTGTTCATATTTCTAATTATATCAAATAAATTCATAATCACAGAAGTTAGTTTTAAAAGTTTTTTCTCCAATAAATCCAACTACGTAAATAAAAATTTTTATTAAAGTGCACCGTAATTTATCAACACCATCAATTTTAGTCCAAATTGAAAAGCAGGAGATATTTTCAAGATTTATCAAGTTTGAAATTTAATTTAAATTTTGATATAAGCACCTGATTTCTTCACACATTTATATTGCCAACTATTTTATTTTCTATAATAGGCATGGCCAAACTGTGGGTCTCAGGCCCTCAACTATGGCTTATGAGCTGCTTGAGGCTGTTTGAACCCTTTACGTATGACCTGACTACAACAAACACTTGTTTCATTTCTGAAACACATTTGCAATTTGAAACAGAAATCATGCAATGACCTGCATTTTTATAAACTAGTAATTAAATTTTTTAATTAATTTATATTCTTCATAATTTAATCTATTTCAAGTTGCCCACTGTGAACCAATCATTACAGTAGCAAATAAAACAGTAAATAATGTGATTTGCAAATCATAATCAACATGTTATTTTTAGAATGGCCAGTCAATGGCCATCAGCTCAAAAGACAGATGCAATAATTAGTTAGAAAACTGAATTGTAATTTTCCTCCCTTAAATGTTATTTTATTGTAGGCAGTTTCTCCTTGCAATTCATCTAGTATCCCTGTTTCTCAATAATTGCAATTAAGTGCTTTTTTTGGGGGGGACTGCTTTTTATTTTATTTATTTATTTTTATATAGTTTTTTAATGGTTTGAAAGGAACAAAGGGAGGAAATATGCACTCAAAGGAGGGCTTTTCCAAATTAGACATATATTTAAGGCCTGGTAGACTTATGTATAGGCTTTATGTTGTATGCAGTAAAACTTTTTATTAGTATTTAGTTAACCCTTTTCAAGTCCATCCTTAAGCAAGACAGGTGGCTTTTATGCGTTTTTCTGCAAAATGTTTGCAACCACTTGCAATTAATATGTTGCAATCACACTTTTTCCACTTGAAAATCTTATAGTCCATAATGACTCTTTGGTAATCTTAGACAGAGATCATCATTTATTTGATTTATGATTGTGTAACGTAAAAATTCTGGGTTATAGGGAGAATAAAATTCCTGACTGACTGATTGCAATTTAACCTCTGGTTGAAAATCATTAAACCATTTTCATCAGATTATTAGAGAGAGAAATCATTCAAAATTTTTCAGGGTTCGTACACATTTCCTTACATGAAAATTAAGGACTTTTAAGGACCATCAAAGAAAAAATTAAGGACCTATCAGCAAACAAAAAAAAAAAAAAAAAAAAAAAAAAAAAAAACGAATAGAATAAAGCAGTTATCCATACAACCGACTTCATGCTTGTAATATCACTTTAAGAAACTAACAGAAGTGTGTATTATGCACTATTATTAAATTCAAATTAATACTTACCATAAAACAATTTTGAAAATTAAACTAACTCCCTACAAGTTATGAAGCAGATAACATTAAATTAGGAACATAATTTCTTGAAAAACATGTATAAGTGTATTTTACACTAATAACAGTCACTATTTTAGAGATTTACATGATTATTATTTAACTTATTTGATATTTATTTAAACACAGTCAACTACTATTATAATCACAATGTAAGAATATTTTGCAGATTAAAATAACTGATTTGTAAACATACAATTTTTTGAAAGATACTAGAATAATAAACTGTACAATAAAAGATACAAAACATTTGTGCTTTTTTTAAATCTGAAATCTTTTCAGCTATTTAACATCTAATTTATTTATGTCTATTTTCTTTTCTTTAACTATTCTTCTAAGTTCATTTGCTTTGATAAACAAATCAATGTTCCTGCTGGTCTCAGCTTCATCTGCTAAAAGCATCTACTTCTTCATTAATGTCTTTAATGTCCCTTTGAAGAAAATTTTTCTTCTGCTTCATATAATCAATTTCTTCCTCAATAATATTCTTTTCCTCTTTGAATTTTCAGATTTAGTTAAAGATTTTTGTTCTTCTAAATACTGACATATATTTACGAACTCCACTTCTTGCAGAAGCTGCTGCTGATCTCATTTCTTTATTAATTTCGATATTAAGAACACCTCCAGAAAATTTTATGTAATCAAATACTGTGCGTTGAAAAATGTATGATGAGTCACTTAAATTTTCAATTTCAATTGCTTTATTTACAGAGAAGCCCCTTTCACCAGAGGCCTGTTCATGTGACAAGATAAGAATACTTGTCACAGTGAATACTTGAATAGTGAAAAGTATATTTTTACATATATATATATATATATATATATTATATATATATATATATACATACATACAGTACAAAGTCCGAGATCCGGACATCCTAATATCTGGAATGATCTAAAATCCTGGACCTCAAAGCCACCACCAACCAATTTTTAGGGTTTTTGAAGGGAAGGGGTATGCTTTACGCACGCACATTAGATTTTTTCCTCATCATAAAAAAACATGCCCGGAAATCCCGATTCTTAATCTTCAGTTTGGCGCTAAATAAAATATCTCATTATTGAAGAAATAATTATTTTAGCATAAATTTGTGTGATTAGTAAACTTGACTCCATAGCTGCGTATCTGCTTGGCATAATCTCAAACCGAAACATTTGTTAATTTTACACCAACTAATATTTTATATCCTTGATGCCGAAATCGCGAATCATTATTTATTGTATTTTGCTTTCATCACCGCATGTTTATCAACGGCTGACAAATTGAGTGATGAATCATGCAGCGACGCCAAATAACAGAGTATTATACGATTACAGATTTAAAGTTTAATGCGCTAAAATGTTGACAAGGGGAGATTTAGCAGAAATTTCTTTCCTTATGCTAAAAATAGATTTTGTTAATGATACTCATAGGACAAACGATTATATTTAGTGCTATTTGAATTAAGAATAACTGATTTGTTATTCACATAAAGCCAGAACCAGCGCCAGAGCTCGCATGGCCGCACCAGGCGGCAGAATTTAGGGAAGTTAAACAGAAGTTTTTCATTGCGATGACAATGCCCAATCATCAATCAATTAACGGAGGGCGGAAATCTGTAGTATGGTTCTAAATCCAGAAAATACAGCTACCAATAGTGAAGAAAGTAACAGAGAGGTTACTGAAAGAGAAAAAAATGTTGATTGACAAGTTATTCGGAATTCTCGACACAGCAATTACAGGACTTGAACAATGGAACTTAATAACTGAACAAGAAATTATACGTCTATAGTATTAGTCTAAAGTATTAGCAGAGAAAACAAATCAAACAACTCACATTGAAAGAAATGTGTTTAATTAAAGTAAACATATAAATATTAAGCTCTTTTCTTTTGTAATATTTTGATACCCTTTAAATCATAAATGCTTCATTATTTCATAAATCACGATTTCATATTTTCAATTTTATAATTTCTACGTGCCATCTTAGTAGATTTAAAATGATCTAATATCCGGAAAAATCTCAAATCTGGGATCGCCGAAGTCCCGACGAGTCCAGACCTCGGACTTTGTACTGTATATATATATATATAATACGGAATGTATATTTTCAGTTAAACTTCTACCCAATAACTTTAGTAATTCATGAAAGTTAATTTTGCGTCTAGTTAATTCAGGAAAATTAGTTTCAATTAGTTGTTTTCAGCTTTTAAAAATATTTAAAAAAATTTTAATTAGTTAGTATTTTCAACTAATAATTGTATTGCCATTAGCAAAAATCCCTTATGCATTACTATCAAACAGCATAGGATTAAACCAAATACTTAATTGTCTATTGAAGCTTCAAAACGTATTTCCGAACTTCACTTTTTCTCGGCTAGCGTTACCGAATTTGCCCTTGGCGACCTAAATCGAAATGGAGCCAACAGATTTCCCGCGAAATCGATAACAGACCCTCTGTAGAAATAAACTCATAATCCCGATATCCCATACATATAGTATGTGCAAAAGAGAATAAACTCCGTAGAGAAGGTGATAAAAAATTAATTTATGGCTTAATTGAAACAAACACAGAAATTAAGCTAAGTAAAAACCGTGTAAAAACAAATTGAAATGATGATGAAACGAAACTTAATTTTCATGTGTGAATTTTCAGCGCTGACTCTCCCATTCTAGAAATTTCAATTTGTTTTAGACAAAGACCACATTTAAGGATTGCCATCCATCAATATCCAGTCTTTGTAATCAGCTTGATGAAGCCACAGTTTATTGAAAATGCACTTTCCAGGCATCTTGTTCCTATTGGTGTCGGAAGGGTTGTGGCCCTCCAGGTAGGGATTGCTCTGATTTTGGCAAATACTTTCAGAATCCCCCCTTTTTTTTTCTCGAGCATCTTCATCATCACTTTTGCCTCTTAAAGAACTTCCAGCTTCACACTTTCGTCACAATCTGCCTAAATTTATGGATAACACCTGTTTCGAAAGATTGGGTGAATAGCCAATCAGACACCGATACTTTCATTCGGGTAGCTAATTTTTTTTTTTTTTTTATCATTTGCAATGCAAATCTGCTAACAGATTGGTTAAGAGCCGTGTAATTTTAATTCCATATTCATGAGAAATCGTAATTCACACTTAGAATGGCAATCATTAGAAATGATAAGAAATGTCAAATGAGCAAAATTAAGGACCGTTTACTCATTTTGGCCAAAATTAAGGACTTTTAAGGACCAAAAATCATTTTTGAAAAAATTAAGGACTTTTAAGGACCGTACGAACCCTGTTTATTATCAAATCTTCATTTTAATAAAGTTGTGTCAAGCAGTAAGAAACCTAAAGGGCTCAAGTTTTATTCCCACAAAGTTCGTCTCAAAATATGTCATACTGATACTAGTGACATCGCTGTAGTTTG